AAGGTGCTTTATAATTAGATTTCATTCGGAACGTTGCTGCTTGATGAAATTTTTTGAATTTTATGGCAAAATCCTGGAAATCTGAGAAACAATCATTTAAGAAAGATCATCCAGTTTGAAATCAAAAAATGAAAGAAGTATTGTAGTTTAAATTTTCATTTTCACTTTTCTCCAAAAAACCTTTTCTATTACTAAATATAAATAAATATTTATTATTCTAACATTTCTTATCAATCTTAACCATAACTGCAAGTGTTATAACCTTAATTTAAGAATTCTAATCAAATTTTTATAGTAATTCATATGGTGGAATTTAAATTTAATTTAAAAATATCCACAAATTATGGAGTAATTCAGTAATCGAACAATCGAATATTGTCATTCCGACATGAAAAAATTTATTGCAGCCTTTTGCTGCAATGCCCTTAATGGAATTCATATGACAAAATTTAATTCTATTCATATTAAGTTTCCATACAAGCAAAGTAATTTTAATTTTTATTTTAAAAAAAATCGTCATTTCGCATAATTATATACAAATTATGATTGATTCACTCGTTGCATTTAATTTGCAATAAAAACCAATTTTTCAAATCGAAACATTTAAAAAAATCCTAGCGCATATCTTTTCATTTTTTATTTTTTAGAATCAAAAATGAAAAAAATCCTGAAAGTCTTTACTGTGAATAATTATTTAATATCACAGAATAAAATTTACAATAAAAATGGCAATCCGATTCAACAATTAGCACACTACTGGAACTATAAGGCGTTAGGTAATCCTTCCTTCCACCTCATAAGAATCAGCCCTTACAAGGCATAGGTGAAACCATCCATATGAAGAGCACATTTATTTATTTATATTTATTCGCTTATATTTATTAAATAAAAAAAATTCCCTCCTTCCTCCTATGGGTAATTCATGATCATCCTCAATTTTGTGTTCTATACCAAGGAGATTGAGGGTTTTGCGCAGTATTTTAGCTGTTCCTATTGGTGGGCCCTTATGGATAGAGATTTCTGATGTTGCTCCTAGAATTTGCTAAAACTATCACTGGGACCACTTTGGCCTTTACTTCCAACATCTCTAGTTCCTGTTATTTTTCTAACTTATATTTCTTGCCCCGTTTCTGTAGCTTGGTATTACTATTTCAATCACCAATTCAATCAGTGTTGATTTCTGAGACTTATCTATTACGACGATATCTGGTTGACTAGCCCAGTATTTGTTTGTCTGTTTGCATTGGGGATATCCACAGGATCTTCGCCTTATTATTCTCTGATTTTCTAAAGAATCTCCCATCTGATCTTGGGACAGTCTAAGCTATATACTAGCATGCTAGCATTTTACATCCCGTCACTATGTGTTGGACTATTTCTGGGGCATTTTTGTACAGTCTGTATCATTTTCAGGGGCAACATGCATTGCTATTTTTCTTGATGATTTCTATATTCTAGCATTTTTAGAGTTACTATGACGTACACCAATTCATTAGTTTCTGCTATAGTTGGAAGACTGTTGCGAGGACTCTACTTACATCTTCGATTATATCATCAAGTGTTGCATCACCTATGGAAATGTTGGAAGGCAAATTCCAGCTTTTCAACTTGGCATCTCTCCTTTCTCTTCTTTAATATCATTTTGAGCCTAGAATGTATTTTGATCCATCTTCAGATAAGAGAGAACCGTTGTACTGTTGTTACATTCCATTCCAACTGCCCATCTTAACCGCTATGCCATACCAATGCTTGTATTTTTATATATATCACTTCTCCATCCAAAACAAATACTGGCCAATCAACCAGATATCGTGATAACAAATAAGAAATGCACAGTGGTAATAGATATAACAAGCACCTACAAAGAGATGAAAGAGGAAGTAAAGTTGGAAGAGTTCCGTGCTAGATAATTGTTTCTATGGTGACGTGAAACGGGCAATCTTGATGGATCTGACCATGTTATGATCCGAGCTAAGATCCGCTTTAAACTGACAATTGACAAATGACTCGCGACTAACAACAGCATCTCTCAAGATCCTTCAACTATCTAAATAATTCGGGGACAATGAGCGTATTTCAAACCGAACTAATGAAGCACCTCAATGTTACAAATGTCAATTATTTTTCTGGAATGGCAAATGAATACTGGTCCCAACTGTAAAGCAATAAGCAATATTTCCGAAAATCAGCCACTTCCAGGCTAGGGCATACTAGTGCACTAGTTAGATATCTTAAGCAACTATTCAACTGTCTGAAAAAGCTGCCAAAGCACGAATGTCAAGAGATCCTGACAACCGGATGCTTCGAAGATTCGCAACGAAAGCAGTATGGCGGGATAGAAATCACTTGGCCTTGAGAATGGAGACGGTGGCTCATTTAGGAAATAATACGAAGTTATTCCGCCTTCTTCATAAAGCAACTATAATTCGGGAAACGATCGAGAAATTGTAAGGGACAGCAGTGGTGTGCCGGTTAATTAAGGACCGCCTCATAAGATGAAAGGAAATCTTTGAGACTAAACTTAACGCCATCTACTTTCATGATATAGCTGATATGTTCGTCGAATCCTTGCAATTGCGATCCCCCAAAAGAAGAAGAAACTATCTCCGATATCCATACGCTTAAGGTCAATAAAAAGATAGTCTTCGAGCCGAATATTGCTCTTCAAATATTGTCCACCTTCATATCGTACATTCAACAAATATACTTTCTAATATGGAAGAAAAAAATATTACCAGATGACTGGAGCAAATAGCAACAATTCTGCTCTCAATTTCCAAGAAATCATTACTAATCACGATACTATTTTAAAAAATTGAAGTCATACTAATCATAAATATACTGGTATATGTGCCAAACAATACCACGGATAATTCCGCTCATTATAATATTATGAAAACGAGACATTAACGGCGCAAAAATTAGAAAGCACTTTATTTCAAATCCATTGCAATCCATTGCCTCAAATATTCGAATTTAATGAAAAAGTTAAAAGTAAAAAATAACACCATGAATATCACATAAAAAATCAAAGTATTTCCAAACCAACGGAATGAAATATTGCCTTAAGACATGTACCAAATAATACTTCTTCTGATCTTAATAAATCCAAATCAAATAGTTTAATTAATAGATAGTTTGAATCTTAACATATAATTAATGGGAAGATTTGAATTTAAACGAAATGCTTTTGTAAATTTTCAATTAAATAACCACGAAAAAAGATTATATATATATTATATATATTAACTGCTAATGATTTAATTTTAATTCTGATGATTTAAAAACTCTAAAAGCTAAATTTCAAAATTTTAGATGACTTTTTGCCTACAATTCTATTGAAGACATCGAAATTAAGATAAGAATATTATAACATCTGAATTACACAAAACTTTAAGATTCAGTGAAAATGAGGGGAAGTAAATCATAATTAAAGCAAAAATGAATTACGAATAAGTGAAATAATATAACACAAGCGATTTTAATGAACATCACCCAGACTATAGCAGTTGAATGTTAGAGGAAATACAACTTGACGAAAACCAGGAGTCTGTTAATTTCCCATAAACCGATATGCGCTGATAAAATGCCGTTATGAGTCCAATAATCTTCTTTGGAATACTGTCGTACTCCATTACCCTCCAAAGCGGCGTTGTTTCAATTGTATTGAAGGCAATTGCAAAATCGTTGAAACACTGCTGATATTGGAAGCGATCCTCTAATACCCTTCCTAGAACGCCAAGATGTGCAATAAATATTTAATTTAAATATGGATCTTCACAAATGAAATATGCAAAAATTCCGTATGGAACTTTACACACATCATGAAAAAAATATAAATAAATATATTCCATAAATATATTCTATGTCGAATATATAATGAAATTATAATGAAAATTATACAAAAATTTACGATTCTCATCTCAATGAAAGCTTAAAACCATAAAAATTAAAATTTAAACGAAAAAGCGGTAAATAATGCTTTTTCACTTTGAAGGGTTAGAAACAAATAACACAAAATGCTCTTATTAATTCGACATAGAATAGCATAACAACAACAAAAGACTTTTAAACTGTTTCAGTACATTCAAAATATAGTCAATCCATCTGAACGTCGTATCGTTTTTTGTGTTGGTCTATATAAGGTTATTGTGCTGGCTTATAATAATCTTTGCCTATATATATATATATATATATATTTGTTTAAATAAATTTGAAAATTTAATGAAACAATTGTGGGAGCGAAAAAATATGTGAATGTACATCTTTTAACATAAAGCTTTTGTATGATATTTGAATATTTCCATAGCTTTTTAATTCTCCTTTGTTTGAAATTTCGATTTGATATCGGAACAAATTTGTGATTTTGTGCGAAATCTCCATTAGAAAAAATTTAATTCAGGAAACTATACTTAATGCTACTAACATAATAAAAAATTGATGAAAAAGTATTATTATTAAAATATACTATTCAAAATCTACAGATGAGGTAATTTGGCCATTAGAGAGAGATATGTTATAAGTTCTCATGGTAACATTCGTTCAAGTCCTCTAGAACTTCAGATTTCTTGCAGCAAACTTCTTAACATTGATTTACGAGCACAATACTGTTGACGAAACTACTGTTCAAATTCTAACTACTGTTCTGTTCTTATCTAAATCCTTCCAGAAGATAAAAAAAGGACCGCGTTGCGTAATTAAAACAATGAATTATTTCCTAGCTGAATCTTCAGTAAGTGCGTCTCGAATAATTCTGCTTGTGGAAGTCTATGATAAAAACACATATTTGAAGGATTTGAAAGAGAGTGGCGAACGAATCACTCCAAAATTAAAACTACATTTCGCATTTTTAATCCTTGACCAATATACTAAATCCTGCATAAAGAATGAACCGAAAAATCGACAGCATAGGTGTCAGATAAGTAATGCTATACTCCTGAACTGGAATTATTAAAAAAATAATTTTGCTTGACAAACCTCATTGTTGATATCGAGATTTCTTAATGTGAAGATATTTTGATATTTTTATCGAATTCGATTACGTCAGAGGGTGCAATGGTTGTCCCGTAAATCGTAATATATTCTAACAAAGAATAGAGATATTCGCTGTCTGCCATTTTCATCGTTGTGCTATTACCTACCAACACAAATTGCCGACGAGCACGCGTTACTGCAACATTTAATCGACGTTTTTCGTTCAGAAATCCAACCTTACCTGAAATAAAAGATAATTCTCTGATCAACGGAAAGTGAAGAAAGAAAATTTCTTTCCATCAACGAATTTCGCTAAACGCCAATTTAGCTAATATAAGGATTAATGCATAATGAAATATAAAACGAAAAAGCACCTAGTGCATTCGTTCGAACAAGAGACATCACAATAACTTGACGCTCTTGCCCTTGAAACCCATCGACTGTATCAACTGTAATAGAATTTGGTAAGAGTTTTCGAAGATTTGATACCTGAAATAAAAATGCTAAAAAAAGCATTGAAAAACTGATATCAAAAGTTAACGATGACTGGATGCGAACAGTCGATTTTTTGCTTATTTAAAACGTAAACAATCGATTTCGAAATAAATTTCCATTTGCCAAACCTGAGCACGGTAAGGTGCAATGACGCCGATATCAGTTTCTTTGACACCATAATTCAGAAGAAGATGAATGTACCTGAGGACGATATTCGCTTCTACTAAAAATCATTGGGTTATCTACAGATGTTTTATGACAATAGCGAGCGGTCAGTTCATCCAAATGCTCTACCAAGATAATTTTTTGGACATATCGATCATTCGTTTGGGCATCGCAAGCAATAAATTTTCTTCTTTTTTTTCTTTTCTTTTAATAAATATGATTTTCCTTTTTTTTCTTTCACTTATGATATTATGATATAATATAATAATATACAATATTACAAAATAATACAACATTATATGTGTCTTCGACAGAAGTAAACCTCTCATATCAAAAAATCCAAGTGGCTGCAGGAGACCCACCTACAACACTATCCCCAAATAACTCTATGGTAAAACGGTCAGATATTCTTGATACCCGTCCCCATCTTCCGACTCGCGTGATACTCCCAGCCCCGTGATATGTGCGACAAGTATACAATCCTGGCATAAAATGATCCCAAGGGTCATAAGTAAAATGTGCTCGCAAACCAGAACAATTAATCGAAACCGTTAAAGAGAACAGTCGTATCAGCGGGGAACATCAGAATGCTTATGGACGTTGCAAGCGATCACTGTCCACACCCTTTCAAAAATATTGCCTGCTTGTCTGAGGTTCATATTTCTCACTTCAGGTCTCAAGTAATCATTAATCCTGGCTCCGAACAGAGGTAATGGCTATATCACTGAGGTGCTTCGGAGCGAAATGGAGTAATGATTGAAAAATTAAAAAGCCCATTTTGCTTTGATTGAGTGGAAAGGCGACTTATACCTGTTTTTAAGGTAAGTTCTGCAATATCTCGGTCATCAATGTTAATGCTCTAATTCTGTCGGCGGATGACCGTGATTAAGATAAACGATAAGTTCTATGCGGAACTTCAACTGTTAACAAAATCTCTACCGAATCATAACATGGTCATAATCGGGAGAGACTGGAATCCATAGGTTATAATGCCGCTCCGATGACCTAGACAATCGGCAAATATGGCATCCGAGAGCGGTGCACCAAAGGGGAACGGAAACGCCTTCTTTGTTATGTCGAACTTTTTCATAAACTTTTCATTACTAATACTTGCTTCCGGCATCGTAAAAAACATCTAATCATGTGGAACTCTCCGGATAACTAACACCCCAACTAGATTAATTAATTATATCTTTGTTGGAAGAATTTCGTACTAGATAGTTGCAACGGGCAATCTTTATGAATCTGGCATTCATGTTATGGTTGGAGCCAAGATCCGCATAAAATTGGCAATTCGCAGACAACAGCATCTCCCAAGATCCTTCAACTATCTCAAACTAAAAAATTCGGGGACAGTGAGTGCATTTAAAACCGAATTATTGAAACATCTCAATTATGCAAATATCAATGATTTTTCTGGAACGGCAGATGAATATTGGTTCCAACTGAAGAAATTTCTCTGAAATTCAGTGCACTAGTTGGGTAACGGAAGCCCACCTACCTGAAAAACTGCCAAAGCACGAATGTCAGAAGATCTTGGCTACTGGATGCTTCAAAGATTTCCAACGAAAGCAGCAATTTCTCTTTTCTTCTCTTTTTCTCTTTAATTATCTCTATTTCTTTTTTTTTGTCTTTGATACGAGTAAAAGTGTTCATGTATCAAAAATCTGGATGGCTGTTGAGGACCCACCTCTATCTTTATCCCCATACGATTATATGGTGAAAGAATCAGGTCTCTTTGACGCGACGTCCGTGCCCTCGAAGGCATAATATTTCTGATCCGGTTGTGCCTACGGTAAATACGGTAAATATATAATCCGGCCGTAACAAAATAACAATAATAATAACAATAAAATAATAATAACAATAATAATAATAAAATAATTCTGTGATATCTCGGATAATTCAGGGTGAAACGGCGTACCGATTGTCATGTCTGAAAAGGCTCGATCCGCTCTAATTGAATGGAGGCCAGTAAATGGGTTTCAAAGGAAAACATTAATTCGGTCATTAGCGTATATGCTCCAACTTTATGCGCAGATGACCGCGATAAAGATAAAGATAAGTTCTAAGCGGAGTTTCAACTAATAACAACATCTCTATCAAGAGGTGACATAGATGGGGGAAACTAGAGTCAAAATGCTGTTACGATAAATTCCGTAACTGGCATGGGTGCCCAGTGCGTCAATGGAGGACACCTTCTTTGAAGAGCAAAAATCTTTATTACTGATACATGCATCGGAGGAAACATCTAGTCGTGTGGAACTCTCCGGACAAATTTTCAATGCTAATATTCCAATAAGATTGACTATATATTGGTTAATCACCGCTGAAAACAACAACGTATCCCAAGATCTTTCAACTATCTCAAATTAAAAGATCCAATAAATGCATTTCAAACCGTATTATTGAAACATCTAGTGAAATGAACGTTAATGACATCTCTGTAAAGGCGAATTTATACTGGTCCCAACTAAAGACATGCCTACAAAAGTCAGCCACTTCCACACTAGTGTATTGGGTGTCGGAAACAACGATCCAACTGTCCGAAAAAACTAAAGTATACCAAAGCACGAATGTCAGGAAATCCTGACTATCGGATGTTTCGAGGAATTACAACGACAGCAACATGGTGAGACAGAAATCGCTACTGGAGCGATATGGACTGGAGAATGCAGAAAGTGGCTCGAATAGGTGATAATAGGGAAGTCCGCCTTTTTTAAAAAGAAACTATAACTTGAGAATGAGTCAGTGAAATGATAAGGATTTAGTGGGGTGCCTATTAAAGCTGTTAAGGATCGTCTCAAAAGATGGAAAGAATTTTTTGAGGCCAAATTTAACCAGATGCGCCGTCACAATATAACTGATTCACTAAGCTTAGGGCCAATAAAACTCCCTGAAAAGATGGACCGATCTCTTCAAATGTTGTCCATCATCGTTCATAACTCACCTTCAACAAATGTATTGTCTGGTATGGCAAAAGGATATAATACCAGAAGACTAGAGTAAAACAATTTTGCTCCCAATTCTCAAGGAAGATGACAGGGCATACTGTGATAATATCGAAGAATCAGCCTAAAAGACGTCTCAGCGAAAATTTTTGCTTCCTTTTACTCAATAGACTTATGGCAGTACGAGGTATCAGGATACATCCTAAGCTGGATTCAGACCTAGACGCCGTTGTGCTGACCAGATATTCATGCTAAGAAGGGAACACCGCTTTAAGTACCAGCAATCCACCCCACAGTCACGTTTTTCATCGACTTTGTGATTGCCAACGATTCAATTGATAGAATGACGCTTTGGATGTAATGCAATGGTGTTCCAGAGAAGATCATTCGACTCATAAAGGCATCTTATGAGCATATATGTTAGATGGTGTCAGATCGCGTCGCTTGGAAACGTCTTACTCTTGTAGCCAGCGGAGCCAGCTTAATGGGGGTGAGAGCTGGCTGATAGAAGATTTTTTACCTGTCTTTTAGCAAAATAAATGTTCTTCAAATAAAAAAACCACTAATTTATTTAAGATTTACATTCTGATGAAAAAAACCTGAAAGTTTTGTTTTATCATTTTACGCAACTATCATTTGGGCAGGAATAATTCAGTGGCTCCGATCTACATTGAGCATCAGACGCTCAATTTTCTGACTGGTAGTGGTGGAGAGTGATGTCTGTAGTGACTTCTATCGCACTACCTGGCAAAAATTTCTAAGGGCAAAAAAAAGAAAAAAGGAAACAACGACTAATCTGGAAATATGCAAAAAAATTTATCAAAAAATGCGAATTATATAAGAGCAGTTTTAAATCTATGAATAAAATAAAAAAAGATATAAAAAAATACTTCGGTTGGAATAAGAAAGATTAGTCTTGATTTCACGAGATTTATGATCGAATGCAGTATCTATTATAATCATAGGCTCATTCAGATAACTCGACGATGGAATGTTACTGATATCGCTATAATTTCTTAGATATTGCAAAACGATATGCTTAATGATACTAATGAACAAAGTGATGATAAAATTTAGTGATGATGCTGATAGCTAATTTAGGATTTATTACCTCAAAGTTTGTTTAGCAACTGTCGCATGTGCAACCAAATTTGAACCATAAAATTGAGCTGATGACCACCTAAAATAGAAAATAAAACAAAATTTTAGATTCAAATTATCATGAAAAATTAAGGAAAATAATTCATTTTCTATTATCCATTAGATTTAAAAATTTAATCAACAAATAAAAAAACAACCACCTCATAATTTTTTCATTCATTCGATATTGAATATTCAATGAAAGGACAAACGATTTACCGAATTCTTTCATTAGAAACTCCAATATTGATTGGCCAAGTCCACCTTTTTCTGCTCTTCAAAAAAAAAAAATTTGCGCTTTTAACGACAATGAAAATATTGATAAAAATTTGTTTGAATCAAGAATTCAAATTAATATTGAAATCAAATAACCAGGATAAAACTGAAATCAAGTAAAATCAAATAAATTAAAATTTACAATAATTTGAACTTTTAAAAGACATAATTACTAAACAAAAGCAAATGGAGAAAATTAAAATTTTAATTTTAATTTGATTTTACTAGATATCTATTTTTTGCCTGAACTGAGCTTCAACTGAATAAGCTTTCAATGGATTTTAAAAAATTTTTATTTCCATACTCTGGGCTGCGCAATATAGCACATAACTGATTCTGATCACCAACTAAAACGACGCGTGGGGCTTGCAAAAGCGCAGGATATGTTACGCATTCCATTGCTTGTGCAACTTCATCAATTATCGTTAAATCCGGTTTGAAACCACTAGTAGAAAAAGAATGAATAAGTTTAGATGTAAGAGTACAAAAAATGACTTGCTTCTTCGATATTGTGTTCTGAAAAAACAACGAAAAAAGTATTAAAAAAATGAATAACAAAATAGAAAAAAATAATGAAAATATTCTATTGAAAAAAGAATTCATAGATTCCAGTCATCTTCAGATCATATAGACCAGCCTATGATGATTATTAAATTACATAAATAAAATGAAACCTTTTAGAATATTAACTAATAAAACAAAAATATTTTATTAAATCTGTTTATCATAAATTTATATTTAGATATTAGATTTTAATATTCAATGTAATTTATTCGTTAATAATTTAATATTTTTTGCTAAAAAAAATCTATAACAAAAGCGGAATAAAATTTCCAGTAAATTAAGATAAAATGATAATGTAGGAGTTTCGCTAAATGATCAAATAGTATGATATTTTACTAAATTGTACACAATTTTTGCCTTTATTTTTTATCACTTTTTAAAATTTTCTCTAATAATATAAATTTCTTTCTTATAAATTGACGTAATTCTTCCTAAGCCTTTGATAACGATGCTATATGGAAAAAAAAGAATGGCAAAAGCAACAAAGAAAGTAATAATGACTAGAAAAGAACGATCATAAACAAAATTACAACTTGCTTTTAAAAGAGACTTGCGAATCTTTCTGCATTTATTGAATGCTTCTGAAATCGAAGTTCCTGCCCAATTTATTTCATTCTGAAAAAAATCCAATGAAGCACTAATTTAGACATAGATATAGGATAGTTACAATTATACAAACTAATTATAAAAAACATAATGAAAATAACGCCATTCCTTTGGATTCCTTAAAAAATGGATCATATAATATGAAATATTTAAACATATGTTCCAATACTAACCATATGTTCCGATTTTTTATACAAATAGAGATTCTCAGATAATGAATTTTCGGACAGGCTTGCATTAAGAGAATGAAGGTACACAACAGATTTATCTTTTAAACGATTATATATATTCTCCACCGCAAGATTTGAAGCTGCACAAACCAGAATCTCAAAAATCATCCATTATAAATCAAAAATAACAAAAAGCGAACGAAACTCACCCTCTTTCCTAACTTGATGGCTTGTTGGATTATTTCTTCCACAACGTGTGTTTTTCCAGTCCCGGGTGGTCCACAAATCGCAACCAATGGAAATTTATCATCCAATGCAGCCCCAACAGCATTTTTCTGCTCTTTGTTTAAATTTTCATTAATAACAGATTTCAAAGGTTCTGCAAATAATTTACTGTAGATAAAGATTAGAATTTGAATTTGAATTTGAATTTGAAATTTCATTTGAATTTTTCCTTATATAAGAGAATGTTCTTTCAAATACATCAAGAGAAGAAACAATTCTCTTAACAAAAACAATAAAACTCTATATCAAGGATATATAATCCGCGGATAGGTGGCCAGATGCCCCAAGAAGTCAACAGTGGGAGTCGCCATAAACCTGAGAACTTAGTGAAAATTGCAGTTCCATCGAACCAAGCATTATTAATACAAATGCACTATTTTTACAAAAACAAGGACAAATGTTCCCACAGTGGTCCTGCTTTCCCTTAATTTTCTTATAAAAAATAGAAAAAAATAAAGATAAAAATAAATAAAAATAAATAATTTTCTTATAAAAAATAAATAAAAATAAATATATTTTTTTCTTAAACATTTTTATACTTAATTTTTACATTTTTTTACTACGCCACGCGTTTCATATGCCCAAGCCGGAAAAGTTGGATAAACCTGCTAAATATGATATGATATGAATCACGACAAAACTTGATATTTCCATATACCGTGATGTAAAATGTTACTACATACTTAGTTCAGATAGATGAAGCAAAAATCTAGTGTAACAATGGTTATTTATAGTGGAATAATTAACTATTAACTATTATTGGATATTATTAGATATACTTGAATATAAATGTGGAAATGGCATTTCGAGAGAACGATGCATGAAATGAAGTATTCTTTCGCCAGGCATTCCTTCCCATTCACGCTTCTAAAAAACAAGCTAGCATTTAAATAACAAATACCTTCAAATAAAATAATAAATATGAAGCAATATTCCTTAGAAATTTAGAATTTCTATGGAGCAAGCAAAATGTGTCACTAATTAAACATTTTATTGCCCAAACACGCTTGTAATTTTATCGAATTATATTCTGAATATAAATGATTTTAAATAACAAACGAATCACAAACAATTTATTTTTGAAACAAATATTAATTTATTTCGTTGTATAAACTTTGATTTTTTCGAATCTTTTCAAGAGAATAAAAAAAACTAGAAAATAATGCGAACCTTTATAAGGCTTTCCAAATTCTCAAGAGCATCATGCAACAGACCAGGTATAATTATATAATTTGAGTGTAAGTTTAAGTATCTAAATTTATCATCAGTAATCAACACTGAAATATTTCCGTTTATTAGTGATATAAAATAACATTCGCTGATAATTTCTGCACCCTCTTCATGACAAACAAATACTGGAGTTCCTAAAAGTAAAAAGAAGTAAATCATGAGAACGTTATTTACTACGCGATAAAACAAACAAGAAAAATTTATTCCATAAGATTGGTGGATATTCTTAAAATAGTAAGTAGGATAAGAACATTCTTTTCTCTTTCTTTCATTCGTCTATTGTCATACATCATATTATATATTATCATATTATATATTATCTTACTGAAAAGTATACATATAAAAAGTATGAAATATACATATAATATAAAACCTTTTTTGAAAACACTGCTAATATTATTATTATTTCTGCTAAGAAAATCGAACTCAGCAATAGTTCCACTGAGGCAATAATTCAATTTAAGCGATTTTAATCTAAGTGGCCCAAGGAAAGTTTCTTCAGCGCAGTTCGCTTTTAATGCACTGAAAAGCGATATATTCAGTAAAATTGATTGCGATTTTTCGAACAAAGTCATTAAAAGCAAATACAGCTGGATTAATAAATTTCTTTTGATCCTTTCTCCATTATTTAGCGTCGTGGGAAATGCAATGCGGTCAAATATCTGTCGCTGATAACGTGCCAATCCCTACTACTCCCTCCTTCGCTTTTCCTTTCATTTTAAACATTTTTTTCTTTCTTTTAATTCTTCTCAAAAATGTGGAAAAAAAGAAGCGTTAATCAAGAAAGCGTTCAGGGACGTTATCATATCAGACGGCAGTATCAAAAATCTTGATAAACCTTGATGAAGATTCCCACAAAATTTCTCCTAAAATTTCTCCAAAACTTCATTTCATCACCACCGTTAAATTCCGATAGCGATTTTCGAGGGGACTATTAACAGAAAGCAATGCGGCATTTTAGGAGAAAAGAACTCCGCCAAATTTAAGTCACAAATAAACGGAAAATAAGCAAACTTCAAAATTATTCCTCTCACTTCGCCTTTGAGAAGTTCGCGCCAAATTTTAATTTTTTCATAGAATGCCGGCGAATGCGCGTAAATAGTTTTCTTCTTCGCACGTTTTATTCCTCTAAAAATTTCAGTTTGGTGGGAAATCGGCGAAATAATATTTTCTATTCCTCGTGAAATTATAAATTTAAAATTTGATTATTTCTGAATCGAAGAAATTTTGAAAAAGAAAAAAGTTTCGAATAAATTTCACCTTTCTTTGCTGTAATTTCGGAGGTGAATTGAGTCGATTATCGCATTTGGTTTTCGCAGTCGTTTTAAACAATTATTGTAAACAATTAAATCGTAAAATCGAACAAATTTCATCGTTCATATCCACGAATCCAAAAAATCTTTCGTTACTTGGCAAGCGAAAGTTCAAAAATTAGTAAAACTGAAATTTAGTAATCATAATTGTCGGCTTTTTATATTGGTGTTGTCAATTAATTATTCATCTAACCCCAAACGGACTCCCCTGCTCTCTCTTACATTTTCGGGTTTGGCTGATTTCAGTTGCTGTTGGTGCGGAATACTTTCGCAGGGGAGTCCGTTTGGGGTGAAAATGTAAGGATTGCCCAGCAGCGCTGATTTTAGTTTGCTTATCCCAGAGAAGAAAGTTGTGTTGGCTGGACCTCAGTCGAAACAAAATATTGATCACCTTTTGTGTGAACGGATATGAGGTGACTGCATTGGAGAAGAGGTCAGGCACCACTTTTAGGATTCCGGCTTTTTATTTTTCTTTGGTCCCATAAGTTGTCGTTATTTTGATTTTACTTCCGCAGTCTCTCATAACTGTGGCATCATATTTGTCTACTAAGAAGTTTTAGTGTTTTATTTTAATTTTAGTTAATAGATTGACTAGGAATTTTAAAGCTGGCTGTGGAAGAATGGTAAAGTGGACGTAGAAGAATCTGACTCTGAGATCGACTTACGAAACCCAGTTATTTCTTTTTAACGCTCTTTCAGATCAGATCGTCTCGACGTCGAGATATTTGCTTTTCTATGTTAGGTATAAACTCCTCATTTTATTATTCCCCATATTATCACGGTTAATTCCATTATTTTCCTGAATGATACAAATTTAGTTAACCTTTTCCAACAAATCAACAGTTATTAGTCTTGTTTCTCAGTCTCGATACTTTTATGTACGGGCTAAGAATTAAAAATGTTGGAGGCGGCTTCGAATCCTTCTTTGAAATCGAGCTAACCCCTTTCATTCGGAACCAAATTTTTTTGTGAAATTCGATTTTCGTAAAAAAATTCCGTTGAAAAATTTATGCTTTGTTTGCATCTTCGTTTTCTCTAAATTTTATCGCTTCCCATTTTATGCTTTAACCAGTTTGCTAATTAGTCTAAAATTTGTTAAAAATTTTTCGAGTTCTGCAGTTATTATGCTATGCTATAAAAATTTTGCCTTTCTTTTTCGTGCATAGATATATTTGCTATAGGCTATTACTTATTATTATTTGTTGTTATAGGCTAATCTTTTCCTATTTTAAATTTGAATAATAATTTTGAATATTTTCGGAGCGTCGATGCTGGAGTTCTATAGTAATGTCAGTAATGTTGGAAGGAGTGAATCGGTCTTTCACAAAAATTCGGATGATTTTCGCGACTCAGTTGTACTTCTTCTCTAAGTAACTTGCTGATAAAATAAGCAACTCGTCTAATTCAACAAGCCAGTAGAATGAGTTGGACCAGAAATGATGAGAAAAAAATCTTGTGCACCAAGAACTATTATCTCATTATCTTGCAATATCTCTGTCGGATAAATTAATGAATTGTCGGCAAATCATAATTAATTCCAAAGCTGTTGGATACTTTACTAGAAAATAAGTAAAATTATTTGCTTTAAGGTTTACCGCGAAACGATGCACACGACAAGGCATATTGAATATATAATTTTTTGTGCTTTCTGTTATCTCAAAGTAATTTCTTATAATTTACTGTAATTAATTGTTTCATACTGCTATCTAGAAAATATCATTAAGGATAATATAAATTTTGGCTATTTTTAATTATTTTTTAAATACTGTTAAAATTATGAGAAAGGTATAAAAATTTTAAAAGTTAAATTTTTAATGTTAAAAAGGAATTTCGAGCAAAAATACGTTAAAAGCAGTTTAAATTGAAAGCATATAAATTAAAATAATTAAAATATAGCACATTTTGCTGGATAATGCGGTATAAAACATAATTAAAATATAGCACATTTTGCTGGATAATGCGGTATAAAACATAAATGTTCACTGCCGTAAACCCAAAAGACACCTTCTTGTGAACCGAACCGATACTGGATCCGAGCAATGGGAATTGCCTCTAAGTAATGTCGCTGCTAAAATAAATTGTCGTTAATTTTTTTAATTACCAATAATTAATTGTATATATGTGCGCCCGGAATAAGTCTCAATCGCTTGTTTCAAACTGAAATCTTTGGTATCTCTTCAGAGTTGTTATTTTTGTGGGGAAACCTCTTTAGCACCTGAAGAACCACTAGTTTCCCTTTAATATCTCTCGAAATATCATTTTACTATTTTGGTACGGCTTATGAGTTCTAATCAAATGCTGCTATGCATGTGCTTTAAAGCGTCGTTATATTTATTAAACTTCGTCTCAAACTTCGTCTTGTTTAATGTTTGAATAGGACAGAAGAATGACACTTTATACAATCCGAAAACATGGTCCTCACTCTACTCAATTAAACTCTGCCTGCCTACCTGCCTACCTTCCTAAATGCCTGCTCATATTTCCTCTGAAGTGAATAAATATGAGCAGTTTAATAGCTTGAGAATGTTGGCATTAGGAGGTCGTAAGGAGTGATAAAATAATAAATAATATAGAAAGATAAAGCACGACTTTAATTCAGAGTTCAGAAAGCGAAAGTGTGAACGGATAATGGAACACAATCTATGGAAAATTATTTATTGAAAAGCTTAACGGGTTTGAATTTGTTTTGCTACAATGTTTATTTTTTCTAGTTAGCTCACTGGCCATTAGGATGAGTATATTAGATGGGAATCCACTTGGAGGTACAGTTGAATACTCATCATAACTCGTGTTTTTAATAAGTTTTTTAATAAGTTCAGTATTTAATCTAATTACAGATGGTATTTGCACTAAGGATCCAATTATATTTCTATTAGGTGACTGTCTCCCACAAATTTGAGATTCCTTTCACCATAGTTTCCTAAATGAGCAACCAAGGGTAACGGTAAGGATACATTCAGTGCAATTAGCCAAAATTGAAAATGGTATTCTTCATATGCATACGGTGTTTTGATTTCTGATTCTAGTTTAAATATTGTTTTTCTTCAGTTTTGCGTGTTGTTGTCTTATTTTAGGAAAAAATCAGGAAATCATAGCAATAAAAAAATTTCGAAACAATAAAACCAACTTTCAAAATGCGACATCTTCCTAAACATTTTTCCAGATGTGAAGTACACAGTTTGCGACTATTTTCATTTATGCTTGCCTCGGGATATTTTCTTATTGGGAGCACCTATCGAGAAAATTTTCTTATTTTAAAATCATAGTTTTATTTCCCAAATGAGGCAAAAAAAATATTTTGAGAGTTGTTCAAATAATTAAAAACCTACGACATAAATATGCTAATTTAACTATAATTTAACTCAAAATAAATTACAATAAATTGTTGATAAAAATTTTATTACTTATTGTATTTTATCATTTTTTCCAAGGCAAAGGGAAAAATTACTTACATATGGTCGTACTTCGTTTAAAATAATTTGTCCAGTTACTTTCTGCAATAATTCTTGTGGAATATCGCATGGTGTGTAGTAATCTGACCTTTCAACTGAACTGGAAGCATATAATATATTTCTAATGGATGAAAGTAATAAAATAAAAAAATAAAAATAAAAAATAAAAATAATAAACGATAAAAAAATCAAATTTTTGTCCGAAGTTTATCTAAGATGCATTAAAAATTTTCTCGAACAATTGCTGCCATTCATCGTATTCTTTGCCTCATTTAATATGAATTTTTTAAAAAAATTTATTAGTTCGATTTTTATAATGGAACTTACAATTGTATTCTCAATTTTACGAAAGAACGAATGCTCCCACTGCCACCACACGTAGAACAAGTTTTTCTGCCGTTTCCTTTACAGTGCGAACATCCACGAATGCCTCGACCTTGACAAAAATGGCAAAGGTCGTGTTGCCCTATCCCTGGCGGTGGAACACCGGCTTTTGCCATGAAATGAACCGGCGTACCAACACCGTAAGCCGACCCTCCAGAAGTGGGCCGGATAACTGCGGTGCCGGTGCCTGGATATCCTCGGCAAAGGTCTGGCTAAAAATATTCATTTCTTATTTTTATTTTTTCATAATATGTTCTTCCAGAGTTCACTTTCGGAGAATAAAGTGCATATAATATTATCATTATGTTATCATTAAAAGCAAATAGCTCTTTTGTAAGGAGGATTATTCAAAGTGTATGATCCATTTTTCACTGATCCATTAGTGGCAAATAGATTTTAAGAAATTTGAAAAAAAAAATTTATTTAATAAGATGCAATTACTTTATACACAAATTTTATGCAATTAAGTGAATTTTTACGAATATTCTTAAATTTCATTAAATTTTTAGAAATTTGAAGTCTATATCATTAAAATTGATGGGAATAGTTGATGAATATATGGAAATATGCTTATCAGGAAGATTACCAATATAGCTTTCTACGCTTGTTCACTGGCCTTTATCCATTCCCGCCTTCAGATTTTAAAATTCCATCTGAGGACCTCTCATCTAATTGAATGTTGAAATTATTAATTTCATGGAAGACATTTCAATTTGAAAAGTATTCTTTATTTGTGAATAATTTAACTTTTTTACAAAAACTTGTGGGAACCCATGAACCCATGCTTAAGCATATTCAGTCTAAATTTCTTCTAAATTTTGATAATGAAAAATATTATCACTGACATGTGGAAATGTTCCGACTAATGGATGTGTAAATATTGCTGGATGTGCGACACCTGCTTTCATACCTGTTCCTCTGTAAAGCATCTTCTTTAAAAGGCTTCTTTTATATTACTTATTATAAAAAAATAATCACTGAAAAATGATTGATATAGTGGAAAGCATTCTATTAAAAAGATTTTTAAAAAATTGAAAGGTCTCATAATTATGTCATCCAAGTAGAATGGCTCAATAAATTGCTTTGTTGATCTAAATAATCGAGCATCTAAATTTATTTTTCGAAAATCCAGGTGGTGCGAATCACCTATATTGCCATTTAACACCATAGCTAAACTTGCTTGATCCAAAAAGCAGTGAAGCTAGCCTACTTAGAAATGGTCGCACCTAGAAAAAAACTAGATCATCGCCCAAGCTTTGCTAAATACCTAATAATTCTTTAAACAGTTCATTCCTCTCCAATTTTTATTTTTTTTTTGTCATTCTTTACAAGTTAAAAAATAAATAAGAGAGTAAGAGAACCGGCAATATGCGCATTTGTCAGTGCCATAGCCTCTACAGAAGAAACAATGTGTTAAACCTTCTGCGCTACACGTTATGCATGCACTAAGGTCACTTGTGCCTGGCATTTCCATTATCTTAACCTATAAAATGTTATTACTTTTTATTTATTTAAGTTCCAAAGTTAAGAACAAATTGTCTAAAAGCAGTATAAAACCACATTCCACTCAATCTTTTTTCTGGCTCTTACTGGTCTTAGCACAGCAGTGTTGGTTATTTTGCCACTATTTACTTACCTGATCGACAAAATCCTCAGCTGGTTCAATAACACATTTCCAAGGATTGAATACTTCAGTGCAAGATTCTTCGTTTGATTTATGGCAAAGAAATTGACCAAGTGTTGCACCTTCTGTGGCCTTAGTTGTGCTTCGCATTTCCGTAAAACTTTCGAGAACATACTAAATTAATTGTAAAACGCTCCTTTTAAATAATTTTTTTAGAAAAAAGAGTGCTTTTAAGAAAAAAAACTTACATGCAAACATGCAGAATTTTGGATATTTTCAATGAGCATTTTACCAGCAACGTTTCCTTTCCAATATTTATGTTTCTTTGCTTCTTTTCGAAGTGCTTCTCGAACTTCACATTCTTGTATATTATTTATATCTTCATAATATCTCTTTGGTGCTATAGTATCTGAAGCATTTCATCAATTATCATAATATTATTGTAAAAAAAAGCCCTTTCTCATCCACTATAGGTGGTATCATCCTCTACCATAGGCCTGTAAGATTATTTTAGCAGTCCAATTTTTCTGGATAGAGATGTTTTCTTCAATCTGTTGAAGATAGCTTTTCTAGCTTAAATGTCACAGTTCCTAGTGCTCAAATTACCACTGGAATTACTTTGGCCTTCATTTTCCACAACTTTTCCAGTTCCTCTTTCAGCTCAATTTCTCTACATATTCCTTCTTTCTAACATTCCTATCACTTGGTACTGATACATCTTTCAGCAGTGCTGATTTTTTGTTTTTGTTTTTTGAAATTTCCCACGATTTTCTGAACAATCTTCCATCTAGTCTTGGAAGGATCTAAACCGTATACTAAGCAAATATTCCTGTGGTTAATGTCAGCTTCTTGGTTATATTGTTTCAATATTGTTTCGCCTTTCAGTATATATTGTCCCGTTTGTTTCTTATATTCTGCCACTATTTGGACTATTTCTGGGGTGTTTTTGCAATCTGCACTTTGAGTTGATCCATCTAGTGTGGTCGATCCTTGCTTCGAAGGACCTGATGCTTATATAAATTATTGTCGTATAAATTGTATTATTACTATAAATATTAAAAAGAATTTTCTACAAGGAGAAAGTAAATAAAATAAAGTAAAAGCTTAAGTTTTATAAATTATATATCAAAAGGTACCCATATTATTTATCGAGCCTTCTGCATTTGATGGTGGAGGTACAAGATCGAAATGATGTGAAGCGCATTCTTTCATAATGATTGTTTGAACTTCTAAGATTGACCAATAATAAAAAATAAATAGCCTGCTGAAAACAAAATTTAATCAACTCAGCACGAGTATCTAAATATCTATTCGGCTTGTTTCCAGTATTTGATAAAATATAGGAGCCAGTTGTTTTGCCTCTTACAAGAGAAAATCTATTATTAAAAAATCAGGATGATGCTGACGACCCAACTGTGATTCCACTAAATGGTTCCAGCAAAAATTATTCACCTTATTAATAACCAATATAGCGAGCCTAACCAAAAATAATAAAACAGAATTGTCAACAACTTTTCTTTTATTAAAATACAGTACAAAAAACAAATATCATTGATCCGCTATCTTTGAATTTAGGAATTTAAAATTTTGGAATTTCTACTGGTTTTCCATCATAAAGGCTAATTTAAAACCCTATTTGATATTTTCAACTTTCTTAAATTATGCGTTTATTGCTTTGAGTTAGGTAGGGTACAGAAGTAACTGAAGGACATTTTCCATAGATTTTCGATTTTTTTGGCAATTCGCATTATTCAATAAGAGCAATAGAACCACTTGAACAACAAAACCCGATTTTATTTTAATAAATGGCGCTTGGTTAAAAGTGCCATTCCATACCCATTCCATACTATTGTTAAATACAGGTATATGTTAACATTTTGAAAAGATATTTGAAAATAACATAGAAAAAAAAGAATAAATTATAAAAGTAACCAGATTCAGAAAGAAAAAACATTAATAAACGATGAATCGTTACATCAACCAAGAAAGAGCCAAAATATACAACAAACGCACAAAAAACACAAATAAAGTCGAGATCGGCTTGAAAACAGACAATTCGAAACAAATGCCAGTTGAGGAAATAGAATGGCTCAGTGAGTTGTTGGTCAGTTGGGAGCGTCGATGATGAGATTCCCCGCAGGAGTAAACCTGTACTGGGTGATGCTGGCGATTCACCTGTATTTCGATCGCTTTCGCCAAGGGACTCCATGGCATATAGCCCAATGCGACAAGCCAGTGGAGCGAGTTTAACCAGTAATGGTGATGATTTTTAAAAAAAAAATACCAGTAGAGAATCCACTTCGATCGAGTGGTTAGGTTCTTCTGAAAGTGAGCAGCTGGAGTTCATTTCATCTCCTCGCTTGACGTTCCTCTTAAATCTTCACTGGAAATGAAACGCGAGCATTACTGGAGATTCGCGTGAATCTCCATGCTCAACTTCACTTTTAACGATGGATTTACTCAAATCAAAGATCTTGTAGTTAGTTGAGTATATAATTACATAAGAAATGTGGGTTAAAAGAAAAAATAAGAGCCAAAAAAAATCCGAACTATAATTATTACGCAGGTAAAATATTGAAATGCATTTCACTGATGAATAAAGCCCATGGAAATAAAAGTAGGAAGGAATGAATGCCACTGATAAACTAACGAAAATTTCAAAACTCTTATCGTTCACTGCAAATGCCCCATTTTCTTTCTCCTCTGTCAAATTAGATTTTTCTGTGAAGATTATCTTCATAGTTAATATTATCATATTAACAATATAAATAAAGTAATGAATAAAATTTGTGGAAATAATCATAAATTTAAAGAAAAATTATTAAATTATTAAATTGAAACCATCTACCGAAATAAAACTAAATTAATTTGATTTAATAATTATTTCTATTAATTAAATCAAATTAAAACTAAACATTATAATATTTATTTTCAGTTTGGCTAATCTACTTGCGAACATCGATTTAATAAAATAAATCTTGTATAAGCAATAATAAATAACTTCTTCGAAGTTAATTCACTATTTTCTAGTTTGTCTTATTAGTAATGAAACTTCTTCGCCAGAAAATCAGTCACCTGCAAAAAGGAGTAAAAGTGGGTCCGTAGCAGAACTTCACTTTTAATGATTGATTTACTCAAATCAAAGAAAGAATAGATCAATAGAATTAATCAAATATATGAAAAGCTTGACATCATATTTATTAAATTTTTGGTTAAATTAAATTAAAAACTAATTTTTCATAAAAATCTATAAAATAAAATTTTTTTGAAAAAAGAAAGTTACGAGAAACATTTTAAATAAAAAATAGACAGGTTGATAACCAAAATGCAAACATTAGCAGCAGCTGGCCAGATTTAAATCGATTCATTAATAAATATCAAGATCATAAAATATCACCAAAACATAATAAAACTTTCAAAAATTTTTACAAAATATCATACATCAATAAAAAAAAGTGTCTTTCTCTTCCTTAAAGTGATAAAGGCCTTCTACCAAAGACAAGGGAGATTGATGGTTCTGCGCAGAATTTCAGCTGTTCCTAGCAATGTATTCTTCTAGGGCAGAGATTTCTGATATTTATGTTGAAGCCACTTTTCTAAGGAGTTGATAGGCAAGGGCTAGCTGCTGAGCTTGAAGGGGTATGTTTATCATTAAAAAATCATTGGCGACCTATCTGATCTCCTATCGCCAAATGATCGAAGATAGCATATCAATAAGCAGTTAATTTTGGTAATGCATAGAATATTACAAATAAAAAAGCAGTGGCTTTTCACTGATTTATTGATTTAATATTAAATTTTACTAAGAATTCAAAGAAACCAAAGAATCTGTTATTATATAAAATCTATTATATAAAAATTAACCAGAAAGATTTTTTCTTTTTTTTTGTTTTTTGCGAAGAAAATGAATGATTTTCGAAAAATGAATACAGAAGGATCGAAGGATCGTTAATGGACGGTAATCCACTGGCGACAATTTATCAATCCAAGATTTTTTTTTTCTTATCATAAAAACCAGCGAAATTATTCGAAGAATTCTTTAGGGAAGTTTTTATATTCATAGAAAAATTACGAAGCAAAATTTTTCAAATAAAAATATAAAAATTAATAAAAATTTGTTAATTTCTCTACATAAAGAATGAAAATAATTTTAAAGTGAATCTTCCAAAACAACTTTAAACAATTAAATATAAAAAAAAATAAACTTGATCAGAGTTCTATTAATTCGTTGATCATGATGCGCCAATTTAAAAAAAGAGAATTTCGGATTTTTCCGGATGAAATTAATCTTCTTCACTTTATGTGAACGTCACACGTTACTTTTGCTTATTCACAGACACGCTCTCTTTACCGTAACTTTAAACAAAACAGAAATAATCACATCGCACTTAATAGAATATAGATTGGACAGCTAAGAAGAAGGGAAATCAATATCGTTGAATGAAATTTAGTTTCGAGCAAAATATGTGACTGAATCGCGATACATTCTGCTTTCTTTACTTTTATTGATATTTTTATGAATATCCACATTAGAATAGATTTATGAATTGATAAATTTCCATGATGAATTATCAATTATTATGAAAATTTCAAAATGGAGGACGATGGAAGACACTGCGTGGTTCGAATCGTTATCTCGATTATCATGGCTCGGGCCCTGCTTCCGAAAGAAGTAAATCCATGTTTGAAAGTTCCGGTAATGCTGGTGATTCGTTCGGGCTTTTGTTGCCCAACAACTCTCTCGTATTCTCATTTCTATTTTTTTGTCATCAAACTAACAGACAGCCAGTGGAAGGAGTCTAACCAATGTTAACCACTTGCTTTACGAAGATGATGAAATTTCACAAAATTTGAAAGATAAAAAACTGAGACAAATTGGAATGAAATAACCGAAGTTGAAGTTTTTGGAATTTAATAATTATAATTTGGATTATAAAATAATTATAAAGTCGTCCGAAGAAACCCGAACGAAATTTTTTATTCAAACCTTTAAAATTTATTTTGTTTAAATGATATATCAAATTTTTATTTTGTTATTCGATTATGAATTTAATATGTTAAAAAATTCAAATGCGAAAAATTCAACAATAACTAGCAAATATGTCAAAAAAGCGTAATAATTTTTTAAAATCAATCTGTCATTCAACGAAAAAATAAGCAATATCTATGAAAGCTTCATGCACTAAATGTCTAATCTTAAAGAGAATATTCTAGTTGATTTTTTTCTTTCTCATTTCTTTTCAATTGAGGGCAATGGGTTGTGGAAATAGAAGCTTATTTTGAACTAAAAACGATCTAACAACATTCACCATTTGTGGTTTACTTAGCTCCACTGACTACCAATATAAGATGAGATTTCTGCCAAAAGACCATTTTGAGATTTGGAAACACAAGAATGACAAATGATAAGGATGACGTTTTGGGGGAAAATTATTTGACTGGTTATACTGGTTATTATCTATACAGGCTGAGTTTGCTTCCGGCTGATTAGATAGGTTTCGAATCCATCGTGTTCGCCTTGCACTTGAAAAAAGAGATTATCCGACTATACAGCCTTATCTAACCAATTAACTATCATAATTAGTAAAGAAAGCAAAATATAAGCAAATTTTAAATAAAAGTGTTCCCATGAAATTTGATGTATTCATCAAAAAAAGGCAATTTTATAAAAAAATTGAAAGGAAGAATACCAAATTAGGATGAAATATGTCAGATATGACAAATAAAAAGGCGAAATGGCTTGTGTAATATTTAAAGGATTATCGATTCTGTTTGGCTAATGGAAATACTGGTCGAATTTTTTTGAAATTTTAGATTTAAAATTTCTTATGGACAATAATTTAAGATAATTTAAGAAAAAATTTAAGAAAATTCATTCGAACTTATCTTATTTCACGATATTCATCATTTTTAAAACAATATTTACGAATAAAAATAATGGCAAATTAGCATTTTTCACCTTTAACGAGAAATTCACTTCGAGCAATTCGACATTTTATGATACTTAAACATGATAAAATGGAATTTGAGTTTGTGAGCAGTACAAGCAGTATTAATTAGATTATCAATTCAAGCTGATTTACTTCTGAGAGAAATGAACTTATCGAAAAATCCGAGTAGTAATAATATTGGAGAGCCATCAGTACTTCTATTTCCAATTGATTCACTGGTCCACACCTAATAGCCATATAAAAATGGCTGGAAACGGCAAATGTTGCAAATGAAAATAATATTTTTCAAAATACAAAATTTATAAAATGGAAATGGAAAGCTTAGAAAAAAATGTTCATTAAAAATGAAATTTGGATATTGGCAGTTTAGAAATTTGAAATAAGATAACAGCCGATATGTCAATGTAATTATGTATTTACGACACAAAAAACTTTGCTTAACATATTGTATATTTTATATTGCTAAATCGAATAATTTTAATTTTTTTCTACAATATTAACAATTATTTCTTAAATATCTAAAAAATAATTGGGTTTTTTGTTTAAATATTCTGCTTCTTCTTCTTTTAACAGCCCTCAACATTACTGGTTAGGCTGGCTCCACTGACTATAAGGGTAAGACGTTTCCAAAAGGCGAGGTCTGACGCTATCATCGACAGTAATAGAAGCCATTCTTTCTTCTATCGTCTATGTCAATACATTGCTGGTCTTCCTATACGCTCTAAATCTTTCCTGGCTGTATCAGTCCAGGTCTTGATTGGCCCACCTCGCTTCTGACATCACCTATCACAGTTTAACAAGTAAAGAAATATGCACAACTCCTGTGATGGGCGAAGAAGAACGTGTCCTAACCAGCGAAGGCGGCGCCCTGTGATGGCCCTATTAATGCAAGCGACATTTAAATGAAGGTGGATGTGATCATATGAGATTTTATTCACTCGGCGTAAAATGTAGTACCTTAGAAATGAGTTATAAGGCAGATAATTTCTAAATATCCGCCACTCTCATTGGCACATCTCAGAGCCATATATCAATATCGAATGAATTGCGGCTTTGTAGATGCGGACTTTCGTTTCTGTGGTGATTTCACGACGGCTCCATAGAGGTTTGGTCAACAGGAACGCATTTCTAGCTATCGTGATTCTGATTGTAATATTTCTTTTGCCTGGCCATTCAATATTAGAGTGCATCCAAGGTATTTAAAATCGGGCACTCCCTCAACCGGCAATGAGTTTATAAAAAGAGGCATCTTATCAGCTTATATATAAGACGAAAAGACTTTCGTTTTCTTTACATTGACTCTGAATCCGATTCTCGCTGCAGTAGTTAACATCTTGTTTAGCATTATTTGCATTTTATCATAACTGTCAGCTAAAGCTACATCATCAACTTATTGAAGATCTGTGATGCAATGCTCTGGACTGATTTGTACACCTCTTCAGTGCCGATAAACGATGTCCATTATCCAGTCTATCGCATAGTCGAATATTATAGGGAAAGAAATAGACATCCTTGAATATTACAAGGAAAGAAACTACCTTGAGGGACACCAGTTCTTATAACATTACGATATAAATATAAGAGAGAATTAAATAAGTGATAAATAAATTGATTAGCTCGAATAATCAAATAAATTTCTGGCTTAAAAAAAATCAAATATTAGGGCTACAGCAAAAAGCTTTTATACTAGTATCTGGCAATATCTGGCCTTCGTTTATAAAAATATATCGAAGTTGGGAATATCGCAGAAGTAATTTATGCATTTGCTTTCATTTTCATCAACCAGTGAAAAAATTTGTGCATGTATCAAAATCTAGTTGGAACAGAACTAAAACGCATTCAGATTCGATAATACAAAAATGTGGTGATTTAAAGAACTATCTGGCGCTGATACGTTATATGAGGACAGTTTTCGTTATGAGCAATTTGAGGGGCTGATAACAGCTGAATTCAGCGAAATTTATTCTATAGCAAAGTAATCTCCGATTTAAAATTTTTCTGCTCTTATAATTACAAAATTCACGCTAAGAATATTTCGTCTGACATCTGCCTTGTTGAAGGTTAACAAATTTTGAATATATTCCTTATGTTTTAAAAGTACGAAAAAAGAAATGGGTGACAAAAAACGTGGACTTCTTGAGCAACTGGCCATTTTCCTAATGAGCTAGTTGTTAAAGGATTTTTCATTCAATGTTGCCCAAAAGTATTTGAAAACATGTGCAACAATATTCATTTTATTAATGTTTCTAAAAGTGAAATTTTTCTCAAAGTGGAATTTTGATTTTTCTGAAGTCAAAGTAAAAATAAAAAATTATTCAAGAAAAATTATTCTTTCTGATTTATTCCCACACCAAAATTTTTTTTTAAAGAATCCTCACCATTACTGGTTAAACTCGCTCCACCGGCTTGTCGCATTGGGCATAGTGCTAGGGAGTCCCTTGGCGATAGAAATACAGGTAAGTCGCCAGCATCACCCGGATTTTTATGTAGATTTACTACTGCGGGGAATCGAACTTTTTTTTGATATATTCCCATACCAAAATTTGTTCATAGCAAAGTTTTCTGTTTTTTTTGTTTTATTCTAAAATGAAATATTCAATCTTTGGAAGTTTAAAATTCAGTTTTGCGCATTTTTTAATGTTATTGAAAATAAGAAATTATCATTTTTACATTGTTTTTCATCCTATAATACTGAAGGTTTTCGGCAATTTTTAAAATTGTCATTGTCGTTTTTCAAGCTGATTTTTCATGTTTTTAAGCAATTTTTTTAAAATTTTATTTAAAATGAAAGAAACTACTAAAAAAAAATTTTATTGGATATGATAGAATGGTAGAATACGTATTAGTACATTTCTTCAATTAAGGCCCAAAAGCCACCGTAAGTTCGATTTCTGTCCTTCGAATCTGTTGTTATTAAGGTGAAAAAGAAAAATCCTTTTGCCATTCATTCATTCATCCATCCATCCATCCATCATTCTTCATTTCAAGTATTTTCAAAAACAATATGCGATAAAACATTTTCATCAAATATTAGCGAGCCATTTCGATTTCCGCTAATCGATGCAAATTCGATATATAGCACTCATAATCACCTTCATCAATTATTTCAATATTATCCTCTGAACTCAATGATGATATAATTGAAATTCGATTACAGCCAACCTCAATAGCAATTAGTCGACCTAAATATTCTTATCTTTTGATAAAATTTTGCATTTCATTTAAACACGAAAGTTCAAGAAGCATCTGTCTTTAAAATCTAATAATATCTATTAATTAATTAATTAAGAGATATTAATGGATCGTGTTTAGACTCAAATTTGGCCTCTCAATAATACAAGTTGAAAGCCTTAGAGTTTAACTCTGACACCAAGAAAAAATGTCTATAAATGTCTTCGAGTCTTCGAAACTAATAATCTCAGTAAACTGTGGCGATAAATTGGTGCAATTTAGAAATGTCTTGTAAACCAGCGGTTCCAATGAAAAATCCAGTGAAAATGAAAAATATTTGGTATCAATGACATTAGGATCTGAACATAAAAAATCTTGCCTTCATAAACATTATTCGTATTTTCCCTCTTCAGTAATGCATACATGTCGCCTTTTCCAATATATACGTCTAACGTACTAACAATTTTCACGCCATTAGAAACCAAACGACGGATTAAATTAAGCGATCGATGGAATAATGATTCTAATGATTCGTTTGATCGTTGCTTGCATAATATTAGCAATGGCTGTAAAGAATATTTCAATATTCATAAAAAAATAATCGTTTTCATTGTTTTGAATTTATAAATTGCGCAGATTTTCTATTTATTCCTGGGAAAAAAATTGATGGAATATAAAAAACCTTTTCTATAAATTCCTTACAATTAACATATTCAGGAAACAGTGAAAGCTCCTTTGTAAATTTTACTTTTTCCAAATTTTCCACCAAATTCATTTGTTCAATATTTCCATAATCCTGTAACATTTATAAAAGTATTAACAATGTTCCAAATACGTTCATTTCAAAGATATTATTATTTTTTATTATTATTTGTTATTTATTATTATTCATTTATTATTATTATCATTTATAATTGTAATTATTAATTATTTATTATTATAACAGGTATGAGTTAAAACATTTCATTTATATTTAATCCCTATTATCTAATCAATAGCTTGTAATCCTCGATCATATCAACGAAGAAATTTTATTTATTTAAATTTTTTCATTTTTATTCATTAATTGTTATATAGTGATAAAAAAAGATAAAATCGAGTTTAATACGAATTGTAACTCACTATTGAGCAAATTTCGAAATTTTCACCAGTATTCGGTGTAAAATCATGAACCTTATCCCAGTTATTTGTGAAAGGACTTAACGATGCTTTGAGCATATGTTCTGAAATATTTAACTCTCGGGATGATCAGTAATCAACAAATTTCATTTCGATGAATTATTGAGTTCAACGGAGTAGGATCGATATATTGTGAAATGAATAGGAAGATGCAATACAGCAAATGAACAACAAAAGAAGCAACTTTAAACTTCAATTATGGTGATTAAAAGATTCGTAAAAATTGGACCAAAAAGCTGAAATTTTTTAACGAAAACTTTTATGATTAATTTGGATAATTTGAGAGAAGACAATTTTTTCAAAAATCATTTTGAAATCATTTATTTTAATAAATTTGTAATTTTGAAAGAGGAAAAGAGTTGGAAAAATTTGAAAGATTTATGTAATGAAAAATGAAAAATATAAATAAGCGTTATTATTTTATTTCCCACCTTGTAATTGTTCATATGAAAGAAAAAGTGGATGAAAACGCATTGCTTTACTCGATTCGATGATTGGTTTAGTGGTACAGAACAAAAAAATATCCATGTTGATAGAATCTCTCGTACGGAACTGTTGACACGCCGAAAAAATCGAACATTTTGAGGAATTTCTTACGAAGACGCTAAATCAGAAGACTATCGAAATCATTCGAAGAAAATTTCATTTGACCTGATGGATTGAAACTATTATCAGTTTTTACATCTATGAAAAATTGAGCTGAGAAGGCAGAATTTCTTTTTCCCCTCACATTCACAAATAAATTAGGTTCTCTGTGCACCTCCAATAACCTCTTTTTATGACCGTTTATTTTCATGTCAACTGAGTTCAACAAAGGAGGATCGATATATTGTGAAATAAATGGGAAAACGCAGTAATAGAAGAAGGAAAATTATTTGTATGGGACCATTAATTATATTAATCGCTTTGGCTTTTCATATGGTCATTTCCTTTGATTTTTTTCTTTTTTAACCAGCGTATAATTCTGGTTGGTTCAATATTGAAGTAAATGCGGTCAATGGGAATATTCAGTTTATCAACCATTAACTATAAAAACATGGTCGAAAGGTTACATAAGGCTAAAATCATGCCGAGAATTAAACTTTATTGGTTTTCATCACTCTGAAACTCGAAGTAAGCATCTTTTCAAATTTCTAGGTATAGACTTTTAAAGTTGCCGTATAAACGTTTTTGTAAGAAGAATATCCAAAGTCAAAAATGTTTTGTGAAAATATTTCCAAACTATTGGTTTACTGATTTACGATGAATATTCTAGGATAGAAATGTAAATAAATAATGAGTTCAACAATGGTGCTACTGCAAAGAATAAATACTGGTAAGTAAAAGAATAAGTATGAATAAGTATTAAATGGCTGATGGCCAATTAGAGACAAATAAATCGTCACAGATCAGTGGACTTACCTTCCTTTACATGGACCTAATACTATAAGACAATGCTCGCAATCATCAATCACAACAGCAGCCGTATAATCTAATATTAATATGCAGCAGTCCTGAAAACATATTTTAGTGTTCGTAAATGGGAGCACTAAAAATAGTTAGAAATTAACTATATGATGCACACCAGATTTAAAGCATTTGGTAATGTTTCATGACGACGCATATTGCAAATGTAAATGGTTGCATAATTAGCTATTAAATTCTGCTTGTTACTTGTCGTAGCTCCACACTATGCCAAGAAGAAATATCAGTGCTTGGCAAAAGAAGATTTATTCGAATAATCTTAGGAATATCTTAATAGATTAATTGGTTGATAGAAACAAAAAAGAAAAAAAAGATTAAGAGATGCATAAAATATCGTGCCAAAATGGACCAAAAAGAAACGAATATTGTGGCGTAAAAGGTTGCGATCTTAATATTCGATAGATAGTTAAGATTCATCCATAAAATTATATTAGAAATCTTAATTTATCAAGGACTTTGAAGAATTATAAAACATTGTATATTATAATGTAAAATGAATAAATATATATATAATGTATAATGAATTTGTATTCACTTCCGCTTTTGACGATTATCTGACTAAGGTGGGTTTTGACCTAATGCAGATCAAGATAGGGCACGTTCTCCGTCGTCCAACACAGGAGTTGACGCATATTTCATTACTTGCTAAACTCTGTGATGGTTGGCGTCAAAAGCGAGGAGAGCCAGACAAGACCTGGTTTGATAGTCAGGAAAGATTTTGAACGTATAGGGAGACCAGCGATATATGGACTTAGACGATGGAAAAAGGAATGGCTTCTTTTACTACTAACGATGGCCAGACCGGACAGCTTGGAGACATATTACTCTTTTAGCTAGCCTAACCACTAATGGTGAAAACTGTTAGAAGAAGGAGAATAGTCAGCTATATTTTAGATTTAAATCTAATTCTGAAGAGAGGTTATACGGCTAAAAAAATTATAAAATAGGCGAATTGGTTTCAGACAATAATAAAAAATAAATTTTGCTTACTTTACATCCATCGATAACAAACTGTTGACCAGATATATGACCATCTAATTTAGCGACAATTTCACCGTGTAACCCCGTAAATTGATATTTATTTGCATCAGGAGGTCCTTCTCGATCCCTACAAAAATATTAGTTCTAAGAGAAAGAGCACATTTCAAACTCCATTTTATTTTTAGGATTATGGATACATATTATTACATATTATTTATTGTATTTTTTGAGATTTTTATAGATTTTTCATGGTTCATTGAAATGGTTCTTTTTTTGAGAACTTCACTTTCAAATTTTTTTTAAAGGTACAATATTTCAATTCGAAATGAATTTCTTGAAAATATTTCATTAATTTCTTTGTGAAGATGAAGCAAGTAAAATGCAAAAAAATTCATTTATTCATCTCTTGAAAAGCTTATAAGACCCATTATAATTATTCTTTTCTTTACTGTTCCTTCCTATTATTTATTTCTGATTAAATTATTTTGTATTTGTCACACTTTTTATCATTTGTTCATAAATTAGCTGTTGGGTCTTGCAGAATCGTATATCTCTTTTAAACATTTCTTATTAAATGGCTCCGCTTATTAAGGGTTCCTTCTCCAGAGAGTTACTTAAGGGCAGAAGTACAGGTACAAAAGTCTCAGAATTAATCAGTTTCTTACAATAATTGTTATGTCTTCCTCTTCTTCTAACATCATTCATCATTACTGATTATATTGATTTTACTGGCTATAAGGGCAAGAAACTGATCTCCAAGTTGTTCTGTCTGACGCCAACGCTCATAGTAATAGAAGTCATTCTTTTTTCTACCATCTAAGTCCATATATCGCTAGTCCACTTATACGTTCAAAATCTTTCCTGTCATATACATTGATATACACTGATGAAATAGTATAAAATTTTCCTTGGAGCGTGCGCCATATGGTCATTTACCGGTTTCCATTGATTCAAGCTCTTTCAGATATGACAATCGGTACGCTATCTCGCCCGAAACACCATAGTGATGTAGTCAGTACCTCCTCAGGTTTAAAATTATTAGAGAAATGAGGAAGATGGACCTCCGATAAGCAAGCCTTACTGTATTCAGAAAGAGTGTGAAGTGTTGGCTTGCAAAGTCCATAAACTAAGTTCCAAGCAATTATGGCCATCACCTCGCCATACAGAATGTCGATGGAGAGTTTCTCGTTTTTCTTGACAGATTTCGGGCATTCACCTTGGCTCGTGAGTACATCATATGCAACTATCTTTCTCAAGTTTTCAGATCGTTACGCTCATCTGTATACTTATCACATGTACCACCAGAAAGCAGATACCGTGTCAAAAAGACCTGACCACTTTACTATAGAATTGCAAGTGGATTCCCAACAGCCACCTGGATTTTTGAGTTGTTATATTAATTTTTTATTTCTTCCTCGTTGAAAAGCCATATTCTCACTGTATTTTTAAATAGGAAGGTACAGAAAAATTTTTTAATATGAAAAAAATCAACTTTAATTATTTATTAACTAAATTCAATGATAAAAATTTATTAGCGCAATCCTTGCAATCCTTTCATTTCAGTAGGAAAATTTCAATCTATATTAGACTTATTCAAAAGCATTAAATACTAATTTCGAGATAACTTTTAATTAATTACTGTAGAATTAAAAAATCAAGGAAATTAAAATAATGATCTGATAAGCAAAATTTTTTCGAAAAATCTTGCCAAGAATATTTTGGTACTTCTTCTTTAGCATAATAACGTTCTTCTCTTTTTGAACGCCTTAGATTTGAACAACAAATAAGAAATCGCATTTTTCCAATTAAGACTGCTGCAAAAAAGAAAAATTAATGAAAATTTTTGGATAATAACGAATCAAAATTATTTATATAGTCTGAAAAATCGCAAACAGCAATTCTTCATGACATATGGCAGTGAGGTGAGGATGTTGTTTCAACTAAGCTCATTAGTCCAATTCATGGACTCTTTGAGGAAGCCTGTGATCGAAATCCAAGCAATGCTGGGAACTTCTTATCCTAATAGTTAGTAGTGCCAACCAAACTAAAAACGGTGAATATCATTAGAATAAAAAGGAGGCCGACTAAACCTAATGTGAAATCTTACCCGTTAAAATCGAATTAAAATCCATCGTAAAGCATCAAATAAATTGAGTAATGTTCACAATTGCTATGATTTCAAAAAATCGAACGGATAGCGAATAAAATAATAAATAAAATAATAAAATAAAAAAATATTGGATTTCGCATTTCGAACAAAGGAAATTATCTTTCGCGAACTTCTTAGAGTATGAAGTTGATTAACGGGAATAAGGGCTATTATGCCTTTTTTCTTTGAATCCACTCTCTGGATCTAATCCCCTTTTGAAAGAGGTTAGCGTTTTGATTCGCAAGGATTTTACAAAAGAAACAGTTTTTAACTATTTGACGCTCCACCTCTTTCATTGTTTAGTGAAACATAAATATAGGCAGAGCATTGCTGAAAGGAAATCGTAAGACTGATACTGTGCAGTTAGGTAAATTACTGGAGAGGAATTATAAAAATATGGGAAGAAAATAACTGTAAGGGAAAAAGATAGAAAAATGAGGGATGATCATGCAAACAAGGACCACCTTTGATCTTGGATGCAAAAATCAAAGGAAAGTAGAATAGCCCAATGGATTATTCCTCAACTCGACGGTGATGAGATTCTACTCTACTTCCCATGGCAAGAGTAAAATCTGTCCAAAAATTAAAAAAAAAAAGAATATTAATCTATATCATCGATACAGGATAGTTGTATTCTTTAGAAATGTATATATTGCATGGTTTAAATAATTTAATATCTCTGTTGTATCAGCTGATGACAAATCAAATAAACTACTTTGCTTTATGTGGAACGAGGCATATTATAAAGAACTATTGCCTTATCGTCACTAGTAATCTTATCAATAGCCAATCTTATTCGAGTAGAATGCCTTTTTAACATTAAGCAGTTGTAAATTAGAACTGTTTTGTGGTTCCAAAGGTTGCATTGCAGACAGCGAATGAATAATCGATGCAAAAATCATGTAAATAGCAAAGAAAACACATAATATTTATTTCAATAAATGACGCGAAATGATAAATCTTCTAAATTATTGAGAATTCCAAAATTTTATCAGTATATATTTCAAAAAATAATCTAATATATAAAAAAGTTCAATTCATTCGATTTTTCCTTTTGTTCAATTCGATTCGATTTTTCCTTTTGTTGTAAAATAAAAGGAAAATAAAAGTATGGAAAATGAAGTGGAAGAAGCCGATAAAAATTTCTTTACTCGGTAACGAATCGATTTCAAACACAACAAAGCCCATCAACATTAATCCAGAAATTAGAAATTGAGAATATATTGCTTTTTTATTGAATTTCTCCTTTTATATGTTGTTACCATGACAATTTCGAATATTTTCCACTTTTTTCCTTTTTTTCACGAAAAATAAATTATAATTAATCAAAATAAACATAAAAATAAAAATTTCCGTCCTGTAAATGAAATTAAAAAGAAAATTTGCAAATTTAACATCCCAATAGCATAAGTTTAATCATGGATGAAAATCTCGATTTCGACCTTGCAGAACCATGGTAATGAAATCCACAAAAATACTAAATTATATTTTTCATCCGTTTAAGAACAAAAACTGAAGGCTTGCTTATGCACAAAGCATTCGTTCGGCCTCTTTTTCTACAGTACTCCCCGAGATATCGCAAAAATAATTGGACTCCAAAAATATTTTATATGACGCCTCTCTCCTAATTGCAATTTTAATTACAAAAGAAAACTTCTATAATGCAACCTGCATTCTCTCTCAATTCCTCGAATTAGACAAGATTTAATCTATAATTGAAAGATTCTGTATGGTTATGTTATATTAATAATTTTAGACTAAATTTAAACCCACCAAGAATGTGCACAATTAAACTAAGGACTCATGACTTCCTTATTCGTACTATGAGTTACTGCAATAAATTACCGAACGATATAGCTTGTGTGTCATCCTTAGCTATCTTTTAAAAAAGATTAGATGATATCATATTATTTAAAGACTTCACGCAGGAAATGTGAAATATCGATGTTTACCATCCGATTATATATAATACAATTACTTCGAATTGTACTATATTATATTATTCTGCAATTTCCTCTTTATTTCCTCTTTAAACTGTTAATTATTACTAAATTTTATTATTTGTTTTTTAACTTTTGTTATTAATGTTTTGTTAAGCACATGATGTTTGTCGCCCTGCTTGGCTGGTTTTCAATAAATAAATAAATAGATAAATAAATAATATAATCATAAACGAGCAGCGATAATTAAAATTAAATAAGTCAAATCTTCCTCACACTAATTTCTACAAACAGACATTTTCATCACAGAATCACTTGAGGACAGGAAGTGACTTTTGGTACCATCGGGCCTTCGCCTTTAAGGATTCGTTTATCCTGCAACCATGCTGTCACATTCATCGCACAGTCAACCAGTCGAGGCAACAATCTATTCAACTATCCGAAAGCAAATTTAGTTAACAGAGGGAAATGAATTTGATGACTTAATGATTTATCTCTGAAAAGAAGGCTGAGAAGGCTACGGTAGGAAAAAAATCAGTTTTTGATTCACACATGTTATTATCAAAATTGACTTTATGAAGGAAAAATTCAGCAAGGTTTCGTTTTCGATTTATGAAAACTTCAATAAAATTCTCGTTTTCAATCGTCTTGAGAATGAATCTATGGTAAAAATTTACGAATTTTACATTTTAGTCACATAAAATATGGATATTTAAGCGGTCGAGTAGCTTATTCAGTATCAGTTCAATTTGTTCCTCTGATGGGTGTAAATTTAAGGTGAAATCCGGTGCTGTACTTCTGTCTCCAATTGAATTTTCGGCGAAAACATTCCTGTTTAAGCGTATTTTTAGTTAAACAGGAAATGGATGACCGTTAAGAGTTTTATAAGGTGAATTTCGAACCAAAAACCTATAGAGAGAATCAAAACTTCACAAAAGAAGCCTACCCAGAAAGGAAATAAAAGCGAATAATATATAAACAAGGTAAAATAAATAGAAGAACGAGAGTTTATTAAAGAATACAATGGCACAATAGATTAATTCTAAAATACAATATTTATAAATTTCAAGTTTAAAATATTAATTAATCAATTAATTGATAATTAAGATAAGCGACTATTTCACAGAAATTATAATAATTAATGAAATCGCACATGATTATATTAAAGAAAGACGGATGGGCAAATGAAGAAATCCATGAAACTGTTTGTTCTGTACACTTTATTGAGAATGTTTCCTTTAAAGATGACCACGGATGAAAACAAATATCTCTGAATTTTGCAGTTAAAATTGCTTGAGTTACATAAAAACATTCCTTATGCGTTTTTCGGTGATTTTTTAATGTGATTTCCAGAAATTTAAAAAGGTGATCTAAGCGATTTACATTCGGATAGGGACTCACAATTGATTCTGGACCCCAAATCCATGATATTTTCATTTGATTGTCACTATAATGGTAAGGTATGATAGCGATAATCTGATAACCATATTTCCACATAAAATCTAAAGAAAGACCACTAAGAGGACAACGAGGTGTTAATGTTTTCAGTGCAAAACTATTCTCAATTAATTTTATAAATTCCTTAAAAGAAACAAAATCAAAATTATAAAAATGATTAAAATCAAGAATTATAACTTCTTTTTTATGTGACATTAAAAAACGGTTTATTTCAAAAAGTATATAAGATAACTGACGACCATAAAGTGCATGAAGCACATGAATACCAGTTAACGACGTATGACAATCCGGAATACTTAATCTTACATCAAAATAACGAATACCAGCTTTTAATTGTTCGATTACTGAAACACTTTGAGTAATTGCCCATTTACGAATAAAATAACGGATAATTTTTATGCGACCAACTGCACGAAGCAATCGTCCTTCATCATTCGCAACAGGATGATTCGTGTAAAGCAAATTCGCAAAAGAATCATGAGAACCTTGAAAAATTTATAATTATAGAAGCAATTAAAACCAATATTTTAATTTCTATAAATAAACCTATTTTATGTGACAGATGTGGCGCTATGGTGATGATATGTTTTGCAGCTAATGAACAAGAGAAGCTAGATAGTATATCGACGACCGTAGCAAAAAGCGTGCTCGGTCGATGTAAATAGGACGAATACCTTATCATTTTATATGCCAGATGTTAGTAAAATTCTTCTATTCTTATCATTTCATCACAAACTGAGGTGGCGCTAGACTTTAAACATCTTGGACCCATTCTTGACCATACGGAAATGAAATTTGCAAGTTGATACACAAGAAATGCTGAAATCTGCGGCGCTAAATCACTATCAGAAGGAAGATACATCTATATAGTAACTAACAATTCTTATATGCTGATGGAGAAATATGGTCAGTGCAAAATATTGAGATATATATTTTTCACCCACTCATATCGAAGATATTTTACATTTTATGCGGCTAAGCAAATAAAATCTCATATGATTATCTCTATCTTCACTTAAATGTACATTAATAATGTACATTAATAATATCGTCGCATAAGCTGGTTAGGCCATGTTCTCCTTCGCTCGTTACAGAAAATGATTCAATACAGTCGCAAGAGATTTTAAATATTTACTGAAAACCAATCAAGTAGGGCGACAAATATGCTTGTATTAATAACAACAGTTAAAATAAAAAATTAATCAAAATCAATGATAAAAAAAGGATCAATAAATTAAAAAAGAAATAAAGAGGAATTATAGAATAGTACAACAGACTACAATTTACAAAAGCAATTGCATACATAACTTATACATCTAATAATAATATTATCTACTCTTTTTTTAAAGATAGGTACACACAAACTACACCGTTAGGTAATTTATTCCGGTAATTAATAGTACCAATAAAGAAATCATGAGTCCTTAGTTTAGTTTTACACATAGGTTTTAGCAATTTTAGCCCATTTGTTCTTGTTAGATTCAAATTTAGCCTGAATTTATAATATTTTGAACAGTCTAGTTCAATATAACCAAACTAATCTTGTAAGTATAATTTAAATCTTGTCTAATTCGACGAACTGAGAGAGAATCCAGGTTATACTGTAGAAGTTTTCATTTGTAATTAAAATTGCTGTTAGGAGAAAGGCGTCGTATAAAATATTTTTGGAGTCTTTCAATTATTTTACTTGATTTACGATATCTCGGTGAGAAAGATGTACTGCTGTAGTCAGAAAGAGGCCGAATGAACGCTTTCCACATTTTGATAAGAAAACCTTCAGTTTTGTTCTTAAACGGACGAAAAATATATCTTTGAGGATTTTTTTACCATGGTTCTGCAGTGAAGGTCCAAATCGAGATTTTCATCCATGATTATTCCAAAATCGTAAATGAGACTTGAAACTCTTCTGATTATATTACCATTAATAAAAAGATCAGGAAAATCGAATTTTTTAGAATTGATATGAAGAACGCTACACTTTTGAAAAGAAAGGTAATTTCCCTGTCATAAATAGCAAGCTGGCTATTCTGTTGAGGTCCTTCTGCAGTGGTGATAGGCTATAGGCTATCTGCTCTACTATGAGAATAATAAATTTTACAATCATCAGCATAAAGATAAATGGTAGAATTTGGTACTACTTTGGTGATATCATTTATACATAATAAAAAAAGCAATCGCGCAATACAACTACCTTGAGGAACGCCGGATTGAACGGGTTTCATGTCAGAAACAGTGCCTGATACTGTTTTCCCATTGTCAATTGGTGCTGACCAATCGGAAAGGTTTGACAATTTTTGTAAAGAAGTAGATTTTTTCGTAAAAATGCCATACTAATAGGAAGATATGAAATTATTGGTATCAAGAAATTAAACAACTTGTTGCAACCATAATCAACCTTTCTACTTTGTTATATGTAGGCTAATAAGCCTGTAATTAGAAAAATCATAGGTGCTTCCTTTTTTATGAATGGGAATTACATGAAACAATTTCCAAATTTTGGGATTAAGGCCAGACTTCATAAGATCCTTGTAAATTAGAAATAGGAGAAAACTCAGAGAGAAAACTGAAAACTGTACTGTTTTTAAATTATTTGCGGAATATTGTAGGGACCAGCTGAAATGAACGGCTTAAAGACATCATAAACATCCATTAGTGTTATTTCAATCTCACCGAGAGAAATGCAACAAATTCGATTTACGTTAAAACAAGTATGAGTATAACCGTCAACAAATGCACTGGAAAAATATTGATTAAATTCATTTGCAAAATCAATATCAGAGGTGATTACCATTATGTTGCAGAATCATTTGTTAACGTGGATGCATAAATTTTCTTTTAATATAAGTCTGGAAAGAATTTCTAGTGATATTTAAAAATTACTCTTCTTTATATGAAAAGTAATTATGAACAGCCTGCGCAAACTCTTTAAGCATTCTTTATACGCAGAGAGGTCACATGGCAATTTGGTTAAATTGTTAATTTGTATTTAGTATAAAGCTTCTTGACATTTTTTTAAAGAAATTTTAGAAAAAAATGTAAAGGCGATTCAGCGGCATATGGGCTGCTTAAAATGTGGGAAAAGGAGTGGTTTCTGTTACTCTCAGGTAGGACAATGGACCCAGCAGCTCACCGTCATGGCAACACCGAAGTCAACCGAACCAGTAACGGTGATGAGAAAATGAAAATATGATAAATTCGCTCATAAATTATATTATCTAAAAGAATAAGGAGTTTCTACTAAGAAGAAATAAAAATGTGCACTCGAAAATCAATGCTACAAATTTGGGATTCGCGAAATCTTGCGTTGATGCAAATGGTTATAGATGAATCTTGGCTAAATTGAATCAGCTGGTTAATCGCCTATGGGTTCATATTTTGACTCGATAATGATATTGACGTTGCAAAACACCGTTTAAGACAAATTTTCTCGTCAATGCACCATTCAATACCTAACAGATGCGAACAGATGATTGAAATGATAACCTAAGCAATACACCACTCGACTACGATAAAATAAATGAATCAGGTAAATAATAAAATAAACCGGGTATAACTAGAGATATCAATGGCTTTGATGATAACGTTGGTGGCAAATCACGCATCCAATTTTCACCCATCGTTATCGCCTCACTTTTGCTAAATGCTTTGCTGCGCACAATAAATCATTAACTAAAATAAAAATAAATAAATATCACGTTAACTTGCAGCTTGCGCACCAAGATAATATCCGTTGCTCGAATCTCGTTAAATTCTTTGCTCAGCTGGTTGCATCCCCTTTAAGATTCTCCCAACCCCACTCCGCTAGTACTCTATCCTCTTAAAATCGTCACCAGCTTCGGTACATTTTCCGCCTCAACAGGTCTGTCAAAGCATTTTATGTTCTTATATTGTTTGCTGGTAAGTCATTGAATTTGCCGGTCTTCTTTACGATTAATTAATTTCTTGACCATATTCTTAAACGAAGCCAAAGACCAAACTCTTTCTTTTCAAATTTTCTCCTTTTTCTCCTCTTTTTCATTTCCTCTTCTCCGTGTTCTCTCCAACTGTGGCACTATTTCTCTAGAAATAATTCCTTCTTTCCGCCTTCTCACTCGCTATTCTAATCTTTTAATGAAAAGACCGAAGAAACAATCCTTAAACTTACTTCTAGTAGAATATAATTAATTAATTAAATTTAAAAAATATTCCAAAAATAGGAAACATTCCTACAACCAATCTAAATTTTACCTAATTTTACTAAAAGTAAGATTTAGCAAAATAGCAAAAACTTCACCACTATTTGTCGGATTTCTGTTCTCTCATTTTATCGCAAATTGATCTTTTTGTTGCCTTTATCGTTGCATTTCGTTTTACTTTATTTTATGAACGGTGGCGATAATAAATAATTTATTAAATGGAAAATTTCTTTAGAAAAATATTGAAGATCGGTTTCGTATCGGTTTCATCGAGATTAGTTAAAATTATCCGTTTTGTCGCATAGAAGAAAAATAAAATGGACGCACGTGGTACCATTCGGCCGCAAATTGGTTGACTGGCTGACTGGTCGGTTGACTGACTTACTCACCGCTAATAATGTACATTGCAAAATGACAATATTTGCCAATAAAATATTAATTAAGCATTAATTAATAGATATCTTTTCGCAAATATTTATTTGAATAGAAGTTTAAGTTTAACACTTTATTTATTATTAAGTTTTACAGTCACTGTTATTGGCATTGTTAATCACTTTTGTTTTTGCTATGTAGATTTCTCGATTAATGTTTCTCCTTTAATATTAATTAACTGATAAAGTGATAATTATTTTTCGCAAAAAGATATTATGCAAAATATTTTGAAAAAAACTCTGAAAAACCGAGTAAAATCTAAATTTTCTCTAGAAATTTTTAATGAAGTGAAATTAATGATAATTTCAGAATTAAAAAATGGAAAGAGATTTTTATATAACCGAATTTGTGAATGATAATTGTACAGAAATGAAGTGCGTTCTCAAACATTTGTATTCGGATTTCATCGTTAATGAAATATCCTCGGATGGAACCATCGTTATTGGTTATTTTGTTATTTGTTATATTTATTTATTTATTATTATCGTTATTTTTTTCTGTTTTTGCTATTATTATTGCCTATTTTATTTTGTTTTGTGTTTGTTGCATTTATCATATTTATTCAAAAGAATTTAAAAATTTATGGGAATTTTGAGTATATTTTTTAATATTGAATATTAAAGTACGAAGTGTTGATTTTTTAAAAATTGTCAGCGTATAATTATTCTTATTAACTAATTAAACTGTGTTCGATTAGTTAAATATAAAAGGTGTTGCAGATTCATCATTGATAAGTACTTCTCCATCTGATTTAATGGATAATAATGTCGTAAATAATAGAAATTCATTGTCATCACCACAGCCACAACAACCACAGTTTATTTCAACAGAATGTTTTACTGAAATCAAAGGGCTACTAAATGATAAGTCAAAAAAAGCTGAAATCGATGTTAAAGTTAGTTTTTTTTAAATCATATTAAATTTTAAAATTACATCAGGCCGAAATTTAACTTGCGGTAAAGAGGAACAGAAATAACTGAGCAGTTGCTGCTTGGACCCTGCAGGGACTTATCATTAAAGAACCGATTGGAACTAATGACCTACCTGGCTCTGTTCCGAAACGATTCTCTGGCGAAATTATTTTATTTTGTTAGCAGTCAGTGGAGCCGACTTAAGCAGAAAAAATTATTGGCCTTCACTCTTATTTTATACATTTTGAATTTTGATTAGTTAAAATTTGAAATTTTTCTGAGCTTAAATAAATTTTCAAAATAAATTAGTATTTTACTAATAAATTAGTATTTTACTAATAAATATATAAATTAGTATTTAAAATTTTACTTTTATACTTGTTTATTTTTTTTATTAAAAATATTTTTCATCATTTAATGATAATTGATTATATTTTTATACAATTGTGCTTATTTATTTGCATAAAATTGATTAAATGTTACATTCAGAAAACAGAAAGGGAAATTTTTTGCAGAATCTAACAAAAGAAGAACGAACAAATATTCATGATTGGATTCGAAAAAGTTTTAATGATAAACTGAGCTCGAGAACAGATTTGGGAAAAATTACAGTTTCGCATAAAAAAGATAATCGGTATTTTTTCTTTTTCATTTTCGGCGATTGGCTTTTTTGTTACATCAAATATTTTTGAAGGAAACGTAAATATTGGCCATTAGATCGACCTGATTATCTTCATTTTACTTTATCGAAAGAAAACAAAGATTCCCATTATGCGTTGTCGTTGCTCGCTAAATTTTTGCGGTATATTATTTTTTTATAAACTGTTAATCTGAAAATTATTATTTAATTATGATATTATCTGAATTTAATGAAATTTGAAATCATTCGTAGATTTTCCGTTGTTGGGGTGTCATTTGGGGTGTGATTAAGTTATTTGTTTTGACTTTTAAATCATCCATTTACTAATCTATATGAAAATATGAAATGAAATATGACTTTTATTTAATTGCTTTATTTTCTTAGAAACAATTGCACAGATTTTGCTTTTTTTTAGAGTTAAAATTGCTAATTTTGGAATATGTGGAACTAAAGATCGTCGAGCAATAACTCATCAGAAAGTTTCCATTTATCGAGTGGAAGCCAATCGCCTGCATGACCTTAACATGCGCCTTCGTGGTATTAAACTGACAAATTTCTTTTATCACACAAGGCCATGCCGAATTGGTGAGCTATATGGCAATCGTTTTAGCATCATTTTGAGGTAAAGCCAATCTAAAAATTATCATTAAACTTAAAAAACAAAAAATCAAGTTTAATTAAACCATTTTTCTTTATCAAAATACTGTCACAATTTAGTTATAAATAACTCATGTAACGAAAAACTTCGCAATATATATGTTTCGTGGTTTATATTCGTTAGCTTCTCCGTAAAAAACATTTCGTACCTTATCGTTCGTCATTTTACATCTTAAAATTGAGTAATAAACTCTTTATTAGAAAGAACAATAAACTGCGGACAATATACACCCTGTCTATTGCACAATACAAAAATACTTACAACAAAACCACATTTAGAAATAAACGAATTCAGCAAAAAAGAAGAAATAGAAGGAACACTTTGGCTGATGTTTCTGACCTGCTGAATCGCTCATTTTTGAGTATACCTCGTAAATATTTCTGTTTGATGCTTTTTCAACGCAAAATATTTGAAAGTGGATTTAAAGTGCTTTTGTTTTTAAATTTTTAAACAGATTTAATTTATTTAATTTACAGGAATATTTCTGAGATAAGCGAGGAAGAAATAAAGCAAAGAATAAAAGCCTTCATAGAAAATGGTTTCATAAATTATTATGGTAATCAGCGTTTTGGAAATTTTCAAAATACTGCTGACGTGGGTTTGGCTATTCTTCATAGGAAATGGGAAGAGGCAGTAAGGATGATTTTAAAGGAACGTTCGGCCTCTGGTTAGTAGGTTTTGTAAATTCGGTCTTTTTGCATAATATTGCTAACTGGTTCTCTGATGAATTTTTTCTTATTAAGAAAAAATTTATTAAGAAAATAATTTTTAGAGAGGCAAAAGTAAAGGCGAAAGGCCCTTCGGCTTTGGTTAAGATACTTAATTATTGAAAAAAACCCTTAATTAAACTTGGCAAGAAAAATATTTTCGATCAAAATACTTTCATCTCAGTTGTCATCATTTATTGTACTTATGGTTTTCGTATTTTGATGGAGTATTTATGAGCATTTTCTATCGAAGATTCCAGTGTTAGCTGCTGCTTTCATTAGTTTTAGTAAAAGGTGATATTTTTTCATCAGGTTGCCTGAGTGAATCATTGAAAATATGGAACGAGACAAACAATGCTTCATTAGCCTTGAAAAAATTACAGGGTAGCATGGTTTGTTCTCTTTTTCTAATTTTTGTCACTTTGTTATTAAATTACTTTAGTGTTATCATATCATTATCTTTTGTTCAAATAAATCAATTATTATATTTATCAATTATTAGTTTTTTTTCGAAATTTCTCAATGGATTTTCGAAATTTTCTAAGGCATCTTTATGTGAAAATATTTTGCAATTTTCAATTTCCTTTAAATTTCAAAAATTATTATCAACAACATTCAGTAATTCTAATCTACATAATAAATGAAAAGAGAGCACTTCATGGATTTTCCTAGAGGAATAAGGGAAAAAACCATCTGCTTTTTTATTTCAATGTTTTTAAATTTATTATTTCTATATTTCTCTAATTAAGTCATTTGCATCGATAGAAGGGCAGTTACTTAATCATATGAGTCAGCCAAATTGGAGCTATAAGGAAGCACTTATGAAATTACCTCGAAGTACTCGAAGTATGTATATACATGCCTATCAAAGTTTATTATGGAATAAGGTTTCTATTATTTTTGCTAATAAAAGATTTATGATTTTTAATTTAAATAATTTTTTTATATATTTCAGTAATATTTTACTTCAATTTTCAAAAAGATTTTTGCCCACGAGAAAAACTATATAGTTAAGTACTGTTCGGTTGTTCAGATTGCTTCAAAACGAGTGCGTCAGCTGGGAAGGCAGTTAATTAAAGGTGACATTGATATAAATGGTAATGAAGCCAATGATATTTTTTCTGTGGCGCTTCCTATTATCTCATCTTCTGCAGTTCTTCCAAAAAATGTAGGTAAGTAGTTTTAAATTTCTCCGAACTTGGATTAATTCTTTTATTAATGCTTAATTGTAGTTGCTGAATGGTATAATGATTTATTAAACGATGGCGCCTTTTCATTGGAAGATTTCAGTTATCTTGAAAGGTTTGTTTTATTTAATAATTGATGATAGAAGTTAAAGTTATGGCTTTCATTTGATTTTTTCGAGCCCTTTTTTTGATATTTATTGAAGTTTTATTATTTAAAGAAATTTTGCGATTGGTGATGCATCGCGTAGACTATTCGCTAAACCCAAAGATGTTGAGTATCAGTTAATCTTATACTCAGATCGTAATGCAAAATTACAACCGGATCTTGGTGGACTCATAGACTCAGAAAAAATCGGTTCTGGTCCATTTAAAGCACTTAAAATAATATTTTCTCTGCCTGCTGGATCTTATGCTACCATAGCACTCAGGGAATTAACGAGGTTTTTTTTTCAGCAGTTATCCTTATATTGGATATTTCCCTTTTATTGGAAGCTAAATTTTTATTTTTGGAATTTCATGATTTTTTCCAAATTAGAGATTTCAAATCACGTTTATGATCAATTTTTGATTCCATTTTTTGCGATTTCTACTATTTTAAATAAAAAGAAAAATTTAAGGTGTAATATGGATAAATTGTCGCAAAATTTGTCTTCAACAATTGATAAATAATGAATCTTGATCATATTTCACAGAGTCATTGCTGATTTAATTCTATTTTTAATAGGGTTTTTGCTTTTTTTTTATTTTTTTTCTGATTAGTATTTATTATTTAATTCATTTTAATAAAAGCATTGGGATATATTTATCAATTATTTAATGGTACTTACGTATCTGTCTTTCTTTTGCAGTTATGATTGTATTCAGCTTCAATTCTTATATTTTCTGTTTTGCATTTTTTCTTTAAAGTATTTTTATATTTTAAAAGTATTTTCATCTTATTTTGAATAAATTGAATAATATGTGCTTTTCTCCTACTTTTTTAAAAATGAGGCAAAAATCCTGATTTAGATATTTTAAATTTTTAAATATTTATTTTTCCAGTTTTTCTGCTTCGTTTGAATTTGGAAATTTTTGTCCTTTAGCTCATAATGCGTCTTTCTATCAAATCGCCTGATGGTCGTGTTGAACTGCTTGAGACTGTCAATTCATTAACGATGAAAGAACTACGGGAACTCGTTGTGAAAACATTTGGCTTGATTTGGTAAATTTGATTTTTGAATTTATTTTAATAGTCCAAAATTGATGGACATCTAAAAGGAGGAGCAGTTTTTCTCAGTAAAATTAATTTTAATTTAATTTGTAGTGACTTTTCTCTTTACTTGGGTGATGTCGAATTACCTAAAACTTCGCAAGAAACAATAAATTCTGTTGATCTCGTAGATGGAGAACGTTTACGGCTTGTACTTCACCGAGAAAGGTTTTCATAATCATAATTTTTTTCGTTTATCGTTTTTTTGTCGTTGATATTTTATTTTATGTCGGAAAAATCCAAATCTTTGCTGTTCATTATCAATTCTTCTATTGTATTTTAAATTAATCAGTATTGTTTCGCGAGAAATGTGGCTATCAAAAGGTTTCAAAATATTTTTTAAATATTTTTAGTGCTTATGAGCGAGAAAATGTTTTAACCGTAATCAAAAAGGAAGTTAACAAAGATGGAGAGGACAAAAACGATACTGAAGATAAAAACAGACAATTTCTTGAATTGACGGTGGAAATTATTGGTGGCTTAATTATCGATGCAATGAAAAATAGTGGTTTTGAGGTTTTATTCATATAAAAGATGCTATATATGGAGATGAAAGCATATTCAAAGGCTGTTTTTGTTTTGAGACAGTTTCTCGTTCTATTAATACTATTTATTTGAACTTCTAATTATTCTTTAAATACTTCATTTTTATAAGATGCATTTATAATTTCTCATGTAGAAGAAAGTGTTTGTATATTTAATATAAATTTATCGAACTTCTAAATGCAATTACAAGAATTCCCTAAACTGAAAATTTTGATTTCAGTATGTAAATCAATCATCGGACAATTATCACCTTAAATTTTGTTATTTATCATTAAATCTTGTCGTCGATATTGATATTCGCGAATACGACGATTTTGAAGAAAGGTATTATTATATCGCAACAAGTTCATATATGCACGATCGCAAATTTTTCAATCCACTAGTTTTGACAAAGCAACAAAATGATCCTTTAGATATTATCAGAACTTACATTATATCACCACTTCTAAACACATTCTTTGGACGTTAGTTTTTTGATTTCTTTTCGTATGCACAATGGTTTTTTAAATTTCTTCCATTGTTCTATTTTCTTTTTAACTTATTTTTGTATGAAATAATCCAAATAATCATTATCGCAATTATTATTGCATCAAATAACACGATTAAGATTAGACTTATTTCTTCATAATTCCTTTCAATATGAAAATTGTACTATTATAATTTTTTGTTTCAGCTGATAATAAGTTTCTGCAGTTGTTGCGTGTACAACCAATAGCCATTGAAATTGCATCGTACTTACCAGCTAAATCTATTTTACGACTTGAAGCCACTTGCAAATTTGCACGAAAAGTTTATCAAGATAATTCGATGGATAAAGTTTGGCGCAATTTATTATTAACGGATTTTCCTGGAAGTTAGTTAATCATCATATTGCTTTTGCTTTCATTTTATTCGTGCATTTTGTCGTTTATAATATTTTGTGGATTTTTTGCAATTTTTGTTTATTTACTGATGAATTCAAATAATTCAAGATATTTTTAGCATGGTTACTGGACAGCAAAAAGGGAAATTATCGCAGTTTATATGTCCAAAAATATCTAGAAAAAAAGATGCAGATTGAACAGCAATACCATGCGCTCTTGTATGGAGGCAATGATTTTGCCCGCGCGTTTAATTCACATTTACCTAATCCAGTTAATCCATTGGTAATTCCACAGCCTGACCCAGATTTGCCACAGGGACCTTTTCAACCAAGGGTGCCATGGAATCCTTTTCAGTCGACTGTTCCCCGTTTACATCCTCTTATGCCATCTCCAGTCATTTTTGATCCATTCAGAACTAGTGAAGTTACTTCAATTAGACCTCGGCGCCCTCATTCACAACCCTGGCAGTCTGATTTTATTTGAATTACACATATATTATTGTTTATAGGATTTATACATTCCTATTTTTATCATCACACAATGAAAATTTTCTTTGCATTTTTCTGCATATTTGAAACTTTAAGACGAATTTTCATTCCACTCGTTGGAATTTTCGATTTTCGATTATTTTCAATTTCAAAGAATGAATTTTGCATTTTTCCAGTCAAAATGAACAGATAATTTTAAATCCGTGGAAGAAATTAATTATAGAGATCAATTATTTGTAGAAAATTTTCAGTTATTTAAATAACTGGAATGGATGTGGTTGTCCAGTTGTCATCATTTAGTTTTCTTAAAATTCGTGTTTTCAATCAGGTTTTAAATCATTTTTTTCATTCATTACTTTCTTGGTTCGTTTATGTAAATAGAACAAAGTACATATTCGTATATGGAGCCATCTGACGTTGGAAATACAGATGGATCATTTCAGCTCAACTCGGATTTCTTGATGGTGATAGGACTCCTCTGCCGATATAGGAAATCGAACCTATAGTGTTTGACGCGAATCGAAACAAATATACCATTCCCTATCCCCTATCCCCTAACTAGGATAACTAGGATTAACTAGGATTGAATTACCTTTATATAACTTATGCATTTATCAGTGCTACTGACAATCTTTACTTCAAATTTTGTGAATTTTTTTAATTATAAATGTCTCAAGAGAACGAAAAAAGTAATATGAGCTATATAATAATTGGTTATCAAAATTCATGATCAGTTAAGAATAATAATAAATTCTTAAGTTTTGTTAATTCATCAGTTAATGGCCCTTTTGATCTTTTCAGTGGTTAATTATATTAATTATAATTTTAATTTATTTATTTAATTATAATTTTAATTATAATTCAAAAATCACCAAAGAAGAATCGATTGATCTTAATGAACTGAATTGATTCTATTCTTAGTTTATAGTATATGCCATTCAATTCTCTATCCGATCGGATAGATTGGTTTTATCCGATTGGCTTCGTTTTTCCGAAAACCAGTTACCAACAATATTTATTTTTTCCATTAAAATTCAAAACATATTCAAATGATAAGAAATCAACGTATTTCAAACAGCTCTCATCATCATTATTGGTTGGACTGGTTGTGGTGGGATAAACGTTTCCAAGGCGCTATATAATAGATCGCACGGCTGTACAGAAGGGACTTTGGTTTTGATGGTAATTTCACGACGATTCCATAGACTTCTCCAGCCAAAGAACGAGTTTTTAGAGTGTTTTATCGGCGTCTAGTATATAGGATGAAAAGGACTTCGTATTATTATTTACATTGATGCGGAGCACGATTTTTGCTGAAGTTGTCGTCACTGCCTCGCATCTTTTGCATTCCTTCATAACTGCAGCAGAAAAGTACCACGTCCTCATCACATTCAAGATCTATAAAAGCGCTCGTATTTTGAATAAAATAACTTGGGTATTTAACTAATTCAAGTTTATCTATTCATATCCTTATCATGTAGACAGGTGGGGATAGAATGGCTCAGTGGGTTGTTGCTTAATTGGGAGTGCCGATGCTGACAGGAATCCCCGCAGGAATAAAACTGTATAAAAATCGGGTGATGCTGGCTACTCACCTGTATTTCTATCGCCAAGAGATTCCCTGGCTTATTGTCCAATGCGACAAGCCAGTGGAGCGAGTCTAACCAGTAATGGTGATGACTCCATATAGACAGGTGGATTCGAAATCGATTATATGATTGGTGTGATGAATGATTTTAAGAAATAAGATTTATGTCTGAGATTTTTGATTATAACAAATAATCATAAATGTGATTTATGGAATAAAATTAATTGAACCCAAACTTTTTTGTGGACAAGTTTAGCAGCACTTAGCCACCAAATTAATAAGTTACTGATGTGGTTCCAAACACTTCACAGCAACAAACGCCGATTTTCTCCAGTGGACACTTAGACTTCTTAGTCATATCTTAGACCTTTTTTATCAATAAAAACGAAAGCATAATAAAAAGTAAGCAAAAAAATTGGAAAAATGAATTTAATGAAAGAATACAAATAAAAGCAATTCCTTTAATAAAGGCTTATTTCAAAGGTATAAGATATAACATATGATAGACATAAGTCAATTATCAACAGTTGCTAAATTATACCACATGGGAGGTTAATAAATGTTCCGCAGAAATTTATGAATTTTAAATTTTTTTTAGAAATGATCCGAGATAAGGATGGAACCATAAAACCAGCAAAAATCGTCTCCTCCCATGAGAAAAGTTCGAATCTAAATTGACTCAGACCATCTTATAACCTGAACATGACTGGTACGCATATGGACCCGTACGACTGCAGTTGCGAACCACAAATAAAGCACAGCATAATCTTCATAGTTCATAAATACAAATGAAACGATCGAAGATGATCTGCACAGCCGAACTCTTCAAATGTTATCCAGTCCAGTGTTTTTCTCAACACATTTTCAAAAGTTAGTTATTCATTGCGAGAAAGAGCAAATAATGTGACTGGAGCAAAACAATTTTATCCAAAGCATGGTAGTAGGATGTAAGGAATCAGCTTGCGGAACTTGGATGCGCTGACCAAATTTTCACGCTGAGAAAGGTACTGAAGGGTACTATCCTACCCTTGCGTGCTTCATCAGGTTTACCGCCGCTTTTCTTCGATAGGACCTGTAACATGATGGAACAATCAAACATAAACATAAACATTTAACATAAACATTTTATAAATATAAACATTTTATCGGCCTAAATCAGGTAACATGTATATGAATTTTTCGAAATACGAGGTTATGCCACCTTTTTCTAAATTCTCAACTATGTAATAGGGTGGTCATGGACATTCGGTATTTAAGAGGCGTATCATTTCAGAGTATAGCACCATGGGCCTTGAATATGGTGCTGATGTGGTCCTTTACGAGGAATAACAGATATTAAATCAAGTACTGGTAGCAACATCGAAAATTTTTTTAAATCAATGGAATTAGACGAAACTCTTTTTGTCTTATTCACTAGATGCTGACAAAATAGCAGTTTATTAAATTCACCAAGGGTTGAAGAAGTGTCGGGTTGTTAAGACCTCGAACCCACCCTCATACCGAATGGACAAGCAAAAAAATAATATTCCAGTTTAGCTATATCCTTTTTTTTTAAACAGCCCTCACCATTACTGGTTGGACTCACTCTCGTGTCGCGTTCTCCAAGCAGCAGAGTGTCTCGCATGAGTCAACCTTCGCTCAAATATTGTGGATGACAAGCGAGGAGTGTTTTCAAATGAGTAGTTCCAGGTACTTCCAAGAATGGCATCGACTGAAGAAAAGTCTTATCCTACTCGTCAATGGAACGAATCAAGCCAGGGCAAGTTATTAAAACAAGAAATAAGTAAAAGAAATGAAAACACCTATTAAACTTCTATTCTACTTCTATATCAATTTTTTGGATTCGCTTAATGAATATCCCAGTGTCGAATTGAGCTATTCGAGTTTCACTTCCTATTTATACGAGGTGGGTTTTCACGATGCGTAATAAGAGGAAAAGGCCTGACCTGACGCTGCAAACTACATTCGACGGATATGAGGATTCGACTTCAAATACATTTTGTTGATTTTGCATGAATAAACGTCTGAGGAAAGATATCTGCGCTTCTTTAAAGCCAAATAACCATAAAATTATTATATTCTTTTATTATATTCTAATTAAATATGATTGTTTCTTTTTATTTTTTTATAAGTGCATTATATTCCGACTAAGGTAGGGTAAATAATTTATAATTTTCTCCCACTTTCTTATTTCTATTCAAATACATTTTGTTGATTTTGCATGAATAAACGTCTGAGGAAAGATATCTACGTTTATTTCTTTAAAGCCAAATAACCACTAAGTGTTCCATTATTATATTTTAGTTTGTAAAATATTTCAAATGTCTAAGCTTCTCATTCAAACCAAATATAATTTTAAAAAAAAAAAATAAACCAAACGAAATCTCTTCGCACCACTCAGACCCAAAATTATACCGAAACTGGCAACTGTACACCACTTTTTTTCACCTTTCGTTTTATATCTCCGAAGCTGATTTTTAGCAAATAAGTGGACTGCGCTTTTGGGTTATCGGTTACTTGTAAGTTAATGGAGCGAAAAAAAATTTAGAAGAATGTTTTGTGAAGGATTTTATTATTTAGCATTTAAATATAAAAAATATTAATATTAATAAATATTAAAAATTATCGAAAAGAGGTAAAAGGGATTTTAAAGAAAAGGAGAATTCGTTGTTTATTGTTTATATGTGTTAATCGCTCGATCGATTCATCTATTTTAGCGTTGTTGTGGTTATTGTTGACTCCTCCCGTGACCCCCGTGACCCCCGTGACCCCTGTGACCCGGCGACCTTTCCCGTGACTCCCCTCTCCCCCCAACCTTTTGACTTTCGCATTTTTTTTAAAATTTTCTTGGATTATTTCGTGACAATTTAGTTTTCATAATCATTGCAAATGGTTGTTTGCTTGCAAGTGAAGGTTAATCATTTTTCATTTTTGGTCAGTTCATTTTCATTTTCATGAAATCATTTTTTTTGGTCAGTTTTGTGTAATAATAATAATTTTTTGTCAGTTTTGTGTAATAATAATAATTTTCTCGAAGTTTTAGCGACCAGTTGTGAAGAAAAACAATATTTATTGGCGGAAATTGTGGCATGGCGGCTGATTTCTCGCTCAGTTTTCTCAGATTTTTTTGCTGCGGCTGGTACCGTGTTTAATCTTTATCGAAATCATTGAGTGCTTATTTGTCCTCCACGCTTAATGATTATGGCTTTTAGCACTGTTTTTTATCAAAGTGGTCATTTAACTGTCATTTGATTTCTGTCGAAGTTGTTTAACTGTAATCACTATCTTTGTAAAAATAACTATTACCTATTATCTAATGAATGTTCAAGCGTTAAAGAAATATGAAGAGATATGAAGAGCTAAGATCGGTCGTTCAAAGGTGGAAGTAAATGTGGGTTCTCTACGCCTTCTTGGTTTTACTTGTGGTAGCCGTTTTATTCTTGTCAAGCGAGAGCGATCGAACCTATAGTTGATTGTCACATTTTGAACCTTTGTTATTAGGCGAAACAATTCGACCAGCACGTCGCTTTCGTACATAAATTATTCCGCTTTGCTGAATGAATAAATTTATCATCTAAAAAAATTCGTTTCATCAATAATTCTGCAGCATATTTTGCGCCATTATTACCAAAGAAAGCTTTTTAAAATTTTCGCGTCAATGGATTTATCGTCATCGTTGTCAAGCAATTCAACACCAGCTCAAGCAATTAATCGACAACTTGATACCGAAATTATTATTATTGGTTATTATTTATTCACTTTTTTTTTATGTTTCTATTTTTTACCAACTAATTGTTTTTAATATATAGTTATTATTGATGATAATTAATATCATCAGTTCAGAACTTTAGAGGAATATTTTATTTCAGATTTTAATAATTTTAACTATCTTGAAATTAATTTATTGATTGATTTTATCGACTCATTTTTTAAAAATAAAATTTTAAGTTTTTAAAAAAATTTCCGAAAATTTTGCAATAAATTTTATTCGCAGTATTCGTATTTTATTCGTTAGCATTGCTCACGTTGCAGTTCCACTTTATTAAGATTTGTAGGTTTGTTGCTTTATAATTTGTTTTACGGGGTTTTTTTTCATTATTTCATTGTTGAACATTTGTTTAAATATTCCTCATAATCTTTGAGCCTTTGAAAGTTTTAAATTTATTTATAAATTATTATAATAAATTACAGGTAATGGTCCAGCTGCTTTATCATTATCAGCATTTCTTTCTGGTTGGTTGCCGTTTTATCGACCGCGTAAAGAGCATCCGAATTTGGCGATACATCAGAAATTAATGGAACATATCGACGAGTCTTTGATTGATCAAGTAGATCATTTTTCAGAAATGATAAAGATGATAAAAAAAATAGTAGCTTTTACATTTCAAAATTTTTTTGCTAAATAGTTTAATGAATAAAAGGAGTTAAATCATCCCGAGTCATCCCGAGCGACTCTTCATTCAGATTGGTAGTTTGGTGGAATTGGTTACTTTTATTTTATCAGTATTTTTTTAAAAAAGGTGGGATTGCTGAAGTGGCTTTTCAAAATTTTTAAAAAATTTAAAATCTAAAACAATTTTTTTAAATTTATGTACTATAATTTTTTGGCTTCATTTTCAAAAATTGAATTGAGCATTTTTTAATGCGTTTAAGGATCTTACTTGGCTTGATGATATTGTTCGTGAATATGGTGTTCATGGATTGTCTATACTTTACGATAGTTTAGCTAGGCCTAATTGTGATAACGAATCAATCGACGAATCACTATTACGGTGGATCTATGATCCAAACCGAGCAGTTCCTCATTTACTTGTTGCAGCTTCGTCCGTTGGAGGTGCTTGGAATAACTATAGCAACGAAGTTGGTTTTCTTTCTCGAAATTGGCTTTTATAAAATATATGAAATTTGTTTTTTCAGTCTGAGCACATTTCTAAATTTCATGTGGTCTTTTAAAAACTTCAAATGATGACAATAATTTTTTTTACATGAATCCTTACCACTGTCATTGATTAGGCTGCCTCCATTAGCCACAAGACTTCGGCATTTCCAAGCCTTATTCCATTTTTGAAAATATTTATATATCTAGAATACCTACATAATCTTTTTTGACCGCATATATTCAAATCTTGATTAGGCCTTTGCGTTTCTGTTGACCATCCATCATAAGACTTGGCATATAACTGGATCAGCATTAATTCATTTTATAATTCCTTTGATGGGCGACGAAGAATATTGCATAATTTGTTTAATTATTAATAGTTAATGGAATTATAAAATGAAAAATAAATATTCATTAATTTATTTATTTAAATTTAGACACTTACTGTTAGTACCAGTTCATTTCTTGATTTGCCTGTTCTTTCAATCAAAAATTGGTTGAAAAAGGAAAAATTGTGCTCCAGGCTTCCTGCATCGCTTATTTGTAAATATTTTGTTGCTTACGCAAAGATTATGGGTCTTAACAATAGAATAATTTCCAATGTAAGGATTACGCACATTTCGGTTAGTAAATTTATTTTTACGTTTAATTTCAACTTGATTAATTTTAATTATTATTTAATTTATTTAATTTTATAATTTTTTTAATTGTTAAATCTGATTTCGATTGGCTACCGCCAAAATTGAAATTAGGTTTCATTCATAGCTTTTATTTCTATTTATTTTTTAAATTTTTTTATTTATGGGAATGAGAAAAATAGTCGTATGTTGCAGTTATACGATTTCGAAAAGATAAAAAATAAATTGGGCAGGAATTCTTAGAGTTTTAAATTAATTGCATTAAAGCTTTTTGCTGTTTCTTCATTAAATAGAATATATATTTCTTTGCACTTTTACATTTTTTTATTTCCTGTTTTAAAAACTTAAAACTTTTAAGATTTTAACAATTTATTTTCATAAATGAAAATAAAAAACTTAAAAATTGAATAGTTTTCCAAAGTTTTTCTGGTTTAAATTTCGAAATTTTTTTCATACTTTCCTCATATTTTTTATATTTATTTTTCGTTTGTTCCATATATTTTATATTTATTTTTGTTTTATAATTTTGTAAAAAAGATAAAGAAAGAATTTTTTTATTCTATGGTTAATATCAATAAAATAACAATAACAATACATATCAAAATACATATCAATATTAAAATTTATCTTTTTTCAGAAATGTTTTGGCCGTATTCCTGGCAATGAATTTTGGGAAATTCGCGGTACAAAATTCGATGAACCATTAATATTTCATTGTAGAAAAGTAGTACTTGCATGCGGCAAAAATCAGCATAGGAAATTAGGAGTATGCTTCATTATTTTCGAATTGATTTATCATGCTTTCTTCTATCAGATTATTTCAGAGCAAAGATTTTTGGGTTTTTATAAATATCATTAAAGACTTTCCTTAAAATGAAAATGACCAATGAATTATTTGACTATTTTGAATTCGTTAAACTTGTTAAACTTATTGTCGAAATTGTATTTCTAGATTGAGAATTTCTTTGGCGATATGCGGGTTGTATATGATATCTCTGGTCTAAGCGCAAAATTATCATCATTTTATCCTGATCATTTGATTAATGATAAAGTGATTGTGATTGGTGATGGTATGAGCGCAGCAGACGCCGTTCTTTTTTGCCTCAAAGCAAATGTACCAGTCTTACATGTCATAAGACGGTCGGAGCAGCAGATAAAATGTAATTTTTCTTGAACAAAAATAGGATACCACTGTATGGTCGTAATGTATCAAAATGCATTTGGTTTTCCTATCATACACATTTATATTTAAAATTAAAATTCCCTGTTTTTCTTTCAGTGATTCAACTTGCACATCTTTCTCCGTCTTTATATCCTGAATACACTAAAATATACAGATTGATGACTGGAAAACAATCTAATCCTCTCTATAGAAAATTAACAAATTCGCAAATAATTGCGTTCGACAGTAATATTGCATTGTTGAAAACTCCAGATGGTTTAAAATCGGTACTATCTATAAAAAACAGTTTTATTTTAATATAAAGTTTTTATATTATCGCAATAATATATTATTCTATGAATATTAGGCGAAGTTCAGATATTTTTTGTAAGTGAGGAAATTATTTTTTCAACATTGATTTATAATAATCATAATTTCTGCACGTTTTTTAGGAAAATTTCTCAATCATATGTGCATGTATAGGAAGATGTACGGATTTATCAATGTTGTCAGAAGAATATTTCTTTGATAATTATTATTGCTTAAATGACCAGGCTCTTTTTCGAGTCGGCTCACTTGCAGGCGATCATTTTGTCCGTTATATCGTTGGTAAGAATCAGTTTATAAAATATATGCATCAATATTTCGATAAAAATATATTTGCTTTTGTTTAGTTTATACGATTGAAAAAAATAAGGAAGTCAATACGATTTTGATTTATTTTCTAAGAGCACTTACCATTTTTGGTTAGACTTGCTCCACTGGCTTCTCGGGCCAGGTAAATTTTGTCAAGAAATCATTCTATAAAGTGCAGTTAAAACCAGTGTCATCCAGATTTTTAAAAGACAGGTTATTTATGCCTGGAGTAGAAAATCTCTTCTTCTCATAACCGAGAGCAATAAGGTGCTGGGCCATTCTATCCAATGTTCTCATTAGGGATATATATATATATTTTTTCATTAGATTTCCAATTTATTTATTTCTAAATTCTGTAGAATTTAAGGTGATTAATTTATTTATGGTATAGCATTATCTTCATGCTTTAGTATTATTTTTTCAAAAACTCGTATTCTGATTAGAATTTGAAGAAAATTTATTCATATATTTCATTTTTTTCAGGAGGCTCATTGCAAGTTGCGAAATATTTATTGTGTACTTCGTGAGGCTCATTTGCTTTTTCATTTATTATATAGCTTTCAGTTGAAAGCTCCGATTTTATTTTTTCAATTATTTTTTTATTTATGAGGTTATTAAACGGTCGTTTTTTAGTCAGATTTGTGTTTTTTATGTTTTTTGATATCGAATAAATTACTGAGTGATGTAAAGATTTTCTCTTTCATGTTATGAGGTCTTGCAATTCTTATAATTTTCTTCCAGATTTTTGGAAAGTTTCGTGGAATTTTTATGCGTAACTTAATTATTTTTTTGTATTATTTTGTATTATATGTTTTTGAGCTTGTATTTATTTTTCATTTAAGGGCAAATATACTCTTCTTCTAAAATTGCTCTTTATTTCCAGTTTGGTTTCATTGACTTTCGAATTTTTTTCTCCAGAATATCAATTGAAGATAGAAATACAGACGGATTCTTATGACAACTATGCATGTAACGCTGCAAGAATTATTTATGTGATGATGTTCACTCTAATTAGTCAAAAAATATGCAAGTGGTTAGCACTCACTACTTTTAGTTAGGCATTCTTCACTGGCTGTTAATATGATGAGAAATTTTAGTCATGGAGTCAACTGCAAATAGAAATGTGAGTCGCAAGCATTATCTGGCATTATTTATGACGTTTTTTAATGACTCTTTTTGCTCTCAGCGAAAGTGTAATCCGGGCTCTGATACGATATTTTAAGCAATCGTATTTTCAGACGTGCAGTTATTATGTTTTCAAGTTAAAACAATTCTTATACGCCAAAAATTAATTAATCGTCAGTATTTATCTTTATATCTCAGGAATTGAAGAAAAATTCTTTTAAAATTCTATTCTATTTTTAGCAGTTTTAAATAATTATTTCATATTCAATTATTCAGCATTCTTGTTTTTCATATTTTCTTGTTTTGTTTATTTGAAACTGTTTATTTAACTTTTTTTACAAAAATTTGATGAAAATTGCGTAAATATATAATTTTAAATATTAAGATAAAATGTTTGCAACGATGCAAAGAGTAAACATATCAGATAAAATCTTTCGTTTCAGAAATTTCGTCAAATTAGTTTAAACAATTTTAAAATGGAATTTAGAATTTTGATTGATATTCCAAAGGAAATCTTAATTTGGTTGAAGTCTTTCTTTCTTTTTTTTTCTAAACTTTTCTAAAACTTTTCTAAAAGTGGGAAATCAGATTTTTGGCAATTCTTTAGTAAAGAAAAGATAAATTTTTTCCAAAGATGAAAGAATTTAAATTTACATTTAGTTAAAAAAGCAACATTAAAAATAATCTTTAATAATAAATTACATTAAAATAATATGATAAAAATTAAAATGGTCTTTGAAAAAATGAATGAGCTGCAAATGTAGGCATTTGATAAATGAGTTGATGATTCAAAAAAAGTTAAACAAAGTAATGCAAATCAAAGAATTTTACAATACACATATGTAACAATTAAAACAGAATTTTTGGTTTCTTTTTTTTTCAGATTACATCTAAACCTTTCCTGTTAGTGGCAAACAACTGATAAGGGCATAATCTAGCAAAAACGAACAGAAATTGGATAGTGACTGAGCTTTATCGTAAATAAAACAGTACCTGTATCGATAATGAAGACAAACCGTATAAATGGGATGTATGAAGGAGAGAGCTGTTACCGGAATTAAAAGAGGTCAGTTTAACTGATAGCTTTGACCAGATTTTTCCTTCAAATCCCTTCTAATGAAAAGATAAGATTTTCTTAAATTCTACGATATAATTAATATGTCTTGGCCCGTGAATCTTTTCTTTTTTTTTCATTCAAATGGAAAAAATTTTTTCTTAAAAATACTTCGTTCAATAGTTCAAATTTCGAAATAGTAGTTTCGAAAGATGTTTTTTAATAAAAATTTTGTTTTATAAATCATTTTATGGACGAATTCCTACAAACAACATCCTTTTCCACTAATCCTACATTAGTTGATTGTTGTGAAAGTTAATTTTAGTGTACAAAAAGGTAAAAGCAAAAAATGAATCGCCACAAGAAATAAATAATTGAACTCAAAAAAATATAATAGGATCGCTTTTATATTATTGTATTTTAGACTGTAATAGTGAATGATGCTGTGGAACATTTTCTGATGATGACGAAGGAATAGAGGATGGATGAATTGTTGAGGATGTTGAGGATGATGATTGAACCTGTGTATTTTTCTCTGACATTAAATTCACTGCTGCTGTTGCTAAATTTTCAGCAATTTGCTTTTCAAGTTGTATAACGCTAACAAGAAAATCATGATACCTTTTGTCCTCATGTGGCCCCATTGCCGGATTACAATGAACATTTGCTACCACGGAATTATTACTTGTTGTTGATGTTGATGGTAGCGAAGTATACTGAGTTGATGAGTGAGATAATTGAGGAGATAATTGAGGATTAGTAGTATTTAGTATGGATAAACGCTGTGGTATAGAATTAATGCTTGAAGATTCTTGTTGCCTTTGGGATGTGGATGCTGCTGCTACTGCTGCTGCTGCTGCAGCCAACTGTATTTGCTGTTGTTGCGAATGTATCTGTTGCTGTTGTTGAAGGGTAGCGTTATTTTGGAAAATTTGTTGCTGATGCAATCGCATTTGCTCGCTTGTAGGAACAAAAAGAGATGGTTGGCCTTTCGTTGGTTGAGGAACAGTATTTGTGTGTTGTTGTGCAGCAAGTCGAGCTAAATATTCGGGCAAATTAGTTGCAGTTCGTTGAGCATGAGCATAATAGTATTCATGAGCGGTAGTAACTGCTCCACTAATTAGTGAACGTTGCTGAGCGAGGGCAGCAGCTTGTTGCTGCGATTGTTGGAAAGCTTGAGCTTGATTGGCTTGCGCTTCAGCTTGAGCTTGAGCGCGTGCTTGTGCTTGAGCATGAGCCTGCACTCTAGCTTGAGCTTCGGCACGGGCACATGCTAGTTGTGCTTGCGTTTCAACTTGTGCTCTTGCGATTGCATTTGTTTGCTCTTGTGCAACTTGCATTTGCTGCAACAGTTGAGCATGATTTGCTGGGGCATTTTGTTGAACTTTTGCTTGAGCTTGCATAGCTGCGAGTTGATAATGAAAATTCTGTGGGAAGTTTAATCGTGGGGTTGTGTTCGGATTTGCTGAAATTTCTATACTTAATTTCGTGCAATCAACGACATAAATCACATAGGGTGTGAGTTTTATGAAACTTTCAATATACAATTTTGAAAAACTTACTCTTAACTTGTGAAATTTGGAATTAAAGTGATTATATACCTGTAAGCGCGGTAGCGGTAGGATTCATAACTGCAATAGGAGTACTTGTATTAGCAACGATTGGCGAAACACAAGGTTGTTGTACAACCGATGAAGAATTTGGTAACAGACCCATAGCATAATTCATATTAAGTGTTTGATGTGCGCTCAACCCACTGCCAATCGGTAATGAATGATTATAGCCACTAGGCACTGGACGTTTAGACATGGATAATCCAGAGTGTTGATCCTTAAGATGTTTCTGAACAAATGAAACTTTTTTTGAATTTTCCAAAAAAATTCGTAAATGAAAACGAAGAAAATGCACAATTCTTCAAATTTTTCCTTTGAAAAAAAATGATCGAAAAAATAGTTGCAGTTTTAATCTTTTCATATAAATTTCCGATGAACAGCATAGCCGAATGAATAGTGGTTCTGATTATATTATCATGTTAAGAAGCAGACGAATCCTGTTCCGGATAGAATTAAAGCTTTCATTACAAAGATCCGGCTGGTTCTGACCACTCATTTGTACCATCAAATGTTTCGGTAAAAAATTTTCAGCTGCACTAATAGCCGGTGGAGTGGGCCTAACCAGAGAAAGAAATAATAATTAATAATTATTAATTATTAACTATTTATATTTAATTAATTATATATATTCCTCAAATAATTTTAGAAAAATATATTTTAAGCAAAATATAATTTAAAAAAAATTTTTTTGAAGAATACGTTAATGCCCCTCTATTTCCAGAAATATTTATATTTTTTTAATTGTCTATGAAAATTACGCGTAATTAAATAAAATACAAATTAAAAAATTTTTTTTCTAAAATTAGAATTAGGATAAATATAAAAAAAAATATCAAGATTGATTAATTTTTTTCTTCTTAGATGCTAGAAATTCCAGCAAAATATGAAAAATTTATTTTATCCAAATTGTTTAATGCTAGTGGCGATAATTTATTTATTCAAAAAGAATGTAAAAATTATTTATGAGCTATATTATGAAAATGATAAAACATAAAAATAAGCAACAGATAATCGAAAATAGAATAAATGGAATTAAGAATGAATTAGAATAGATCTCCAATCACACTCTTTTTGCACCATTGCTGGTTTGGTTTGGCTCCACTGGCAACTAGAGTAAATCTTCCAGATGATATTCTTAAAATTAATTAGCTGAAGTCATTCCTTTTTTCAACTTCTAAGCCTAGGTGCCGTTGAACCGCCTTTGAGTTCAGAATCTTTCCTAACGTATCGGCCCAGATCCTGGCTCTTCTCCTCGCTTTTGATGCAATTTAAAGTTTAGCAAGGTATGCATCAATTTCTACGGTGGACAAAGAAAAATATGGCCAAATTAGCGCATAATAGTAACACTTTGTGACGATTTTGCTTTAGAGCGAAGCTGAATGCAATCATACCGTCCATTTGACAGGTACTTATTCCTTAAAATGATCAATAGTTTTTTGATATCTTCCACTCTCATTCGCAGCAATATAGGACTGCGTCTATTACGATAGGTGCGAAGTTTTATTTATTTATTTGTTTTATTTATTTTATCTATTTTGAGGCTGATTTCGCCGCTATTCCAGAGGTTTCGTCTGGGAAAAAAAGTAATTCCTGCTGCACCCATCTGAGTTGGAATCTTTCGTATGATCATTAAGTATGAAACTGGATCTGAGATATTTAACGTCTGTGGATCTCTTCGATGAATTTTTCGTTGAATTTATTGAAATTTAGATCAGCACTTGGTGTTAGAGGAAGAGTTGCTTATTCGGAATGGGTACAATTTAAACCTGTTAACGAGGACCTATGAGAGGGCAAGCCTGGTGCCAGCAGCCGCGGTAACTCCAGCTCTCAAAGTGTATATCGTTATTGCTGCGGTTAAAAAGCTCGTAGTTGGAATCCAGCTTGACGAAATGGTCTATTTATTTTTAATGAAATTCAAAGTTTTCAGCAAGTATAGCCTCTCTAAGAAAGAGTGGCCACCAACCTATATTAACAAAACAGAATGGCAATATTTCAATTTTTAAAGAATAAAAATGGAAACTTTCATATCTCTTTTAATTTTTAAAAAAATACAATAAGCTCACTTTAAAAGGGGATACTTTATTCTAAAATACTTCTTCGGATGCTGCTGACAATCCTCTTAGTACTTTTGTCCCCAAGTGACTTCCTGGCAAAAATTTTTCATTTTTCAAAATATTTTAATAACGAGTGAAGCGAGCTTAATGAGAAGTGCTACCGACTTACTATTCCTAATTTTTATTTTTTTCTAAATTAATTTTATTATGCATTACACAGTTAATTTTATGCATTAAATGCAACAAAAAATATCCATCTACGGACTCGCGTCAAAATTTAGAAAAGAGGATTATTTGAATAAATAATTGTGATGTATATTTTTTTCAAATAAAATTTATTCTAGAATATAAAGAATTAAAAAAATATTTTAAAAACGGAAAAATTTATAAAATCTGACAATCGTAGCTGAAAAAAACAATGCCAAGATTTGTTGAATCCGGAAAACAACATTAGTCAATTTTTATTTTCAACAATCCGCTTTAATATATAAATCCATCGAGATATATTCTTCTCATATTTAATTTGTTTTAACCAGCTTATGTAGCAAAAATATTAAGATAGCAAAATAATATATTTTTTAATATGCAATATGCAACTTCCATCTTGCACCATGAGATGCGGCATAATTCTTATTTCCCATAATGATTGCAAATCATTTTCTGGTTGAATTATTATTTTATAGATTGGAAGGGATCAAAATTAGGCTTAGGCTTTATATAAATTAAAAATGATCTTATTGAATTTTTGTTACCCTATAGTGAACTTATTTTGCCAATGAATTAAATTTTAATAAAAGAAAAGTTATAAAAAAATGAATCAGCACTTGCTATATAAAATGAGACCATTACTTTCCCTTCTTCCTTATTCTATTTATGGAATGATATTGAAAATTATTACAGAATTATTATAGTTCACTAACCAATCATTTCTTTAGCTCATAAATGAATTCTAAGCGATAAAAAATTTAATCGCATTTGAGTTTATTTTTTTGTAAGCGAAATGATTTTCACGAAACATTTGAATTCAGTAAAAAGAAAGCAAAATAATCTAAAAAGAATTTCGAAAAAAAATCTCCACGCTGAATAGCTTATTGTTGTTAAAAAACTGAAACAATATAGATTAATAGATATAAATGAAATCCATTTATTCATTTAAAATTTTTATCAATAAAGCTAATCAATCAGTCAGACAATCATAATTATTTATTAATTGCAAAAATAAGAAAGCAATTGAAATTATGAATTTAGTCAATGCATGGATATAAACATGAAACTATAGTAACGAAACGAAGTCAGAGCTGCTTCATTGATTTTCTTCAATTTTCAAACTGAAAAATCCATAAAATCCATAAAATTATAAATTTATTAAAAATATTGAAAAAAATATGTGCAAAAAAAGGCAAATTTTTAAGTGAATTAGAAAAAAAATTCTATTCTATTACCATGGAAATAATAAATGGCGTTGAATGAAATTATTCTAAAGCAAGCAAAAATTTTGAAAAAATTCATATTATTATAGCGTATTATTTAATTTTCTTTATTAATTACTATTATTCGATATAATAAAAGTGAAAAATATTGTAGAAAATGAGATTTTTAATGAAAATTTTAAAATATTTTCTGAAGAAAAAGGTGCTATTTATTTTTCATTCATGCTACTAGAAATTTTTAAAACGAATTGAATAAAATTTTAAAAAAATGAATGCTAACAAAAGTTTTTTCCTTAATTAGTTACTATTATGATGTCTTTGAATTTTGAAATAATGACAGTTAAATTAAAATTAAAGTTATTGGTTACCGCCAGCTTCAGTTAGAGCCTGGCTGGCTGTAAATACGGCTAGAAATTTTTGTCACTTAATCGATAGAAATACAGGTATCAGCAACACCAGAATTTTTTAATGACAGGCATAAACCTAATCTAAAGCCACTCGCCTACTCTTTCCCTATTCAATTTTAATCAGTGAAACTGCCTAAATATAGGAAAAACCAAATTTGACAAAGTGAAGAAATGAAGAAGATTCATTTCGCGATAATTTGAATCTTTTGACACATAAATATCACTGGAGATTTTTTTTTGAAGGATGCTTCCCATTAATTAGGCTGGTTTTTCTGGCTTTTTTGTCCAAATCGGATTTTTAAAAGCCAGGTTCATAGCTGTTGCAGTAGAAATTTCTGCATCCGAAATAGAGCAACAACTCATTGAGCCTTTTTTTCCCTGGTGACTAGAAGGTAAAATCTTTGACTCATTGCATCACATAATTAATACGTATTTATCCGCAGAGGATATAGGTTTTAAGTATAAAACCTGGAACCCAAAAAGAAAAGAAGGAAAAATTTAAAAAATTAAGAAAATTTATAATTATAATTATATGGACGATAATAATTAGCAAAATAATTATTAAATTGTGATAGACCTATGAAAAATAATAATTATTTGCCAAATATCCTTGCTAAATAAATTTCCATAAATAAAATTTACAATAAATAAAGTTTACCAAATTTTACCAAATTTTCCTTCTTCAAAAGACATAGGATTTATTGGATATTTTTATCTTTCACAATTTTTTATAATTTTTTTACAATTTTTGAAAATTTGCGTTCATTTTTTTCAGCAAGAAAAAAATTCTGAAAATTAGGAATGAAATTTATTAAATACTTTCAAAAAATAATAGTTTTATTTCATCAACGAAAATTAATTAGTATCTCGCCGAAGCCAATGACAATGAAAAAAAAAATCAACTTCCCAACTTTCTATTTCTCTAAATTTAATCGCAATTTCATAGTTATCAAATAGTAGCAGTGAAATATTTTTTCGCTGTTTTATTTGTGTGCTGTGTTCTGAATATATTCCTGGATAAACGTACGGTCACTACTGAACCATTATTTGCAGATTTTAATTTGAAATTCAAATGAAACAACTCAAAAATATTTATGAAAGGAAAGAAAAATGATAAATTAAATTTCGGAGCCATTCATCAACTGGTGAATAGAAGAAAACTTCGAAGCTAATAAAAATGACCTAAATTTTCATCTCTACTCAGGGCTTCAATAACAAGCATGTTCTTTTGTAAAATTGATATTAAGAAGGTATGATAAAGATCTACAAGTTAGATAACCATTCCAGTCAACGAACAAAAAAACA